GCTCCTACAGTGGACTTTGCCCTGTAAATTGTCTCAATTATCTCTAATATTACTTCTAATATGCGCGTGTAATTTTTCTTTTGAGATGAAATATTGAAATTTATGAAGAAATGTCACCGTATCGGTTATTTTAATAACTACTTAGCTGATTTACTACTACTTAGCTGAGTAATGGCATCCACCGGATCGTGATTTAAACTTGTCCATTTTGTAATTTATTGTACTCCATAGCAGAATTTAACCATCAATTTTATTAATGACACTTTTTATCTGTTTTTTTTTCGGAGCACTTGCTGTCCTGTTGTGACGTCATCGAAATTTTATCGCGATCAGTTTCTTCTTTTCTTCTGAAACTTTGCTTTACTGTAGAAAATCTGTTTATATAATTTTTAACGAGATAGGACAGTTTGTGGCATACGAACCATCGCTGGGGCTGCTGCCTGCATCGCAATATCTGACTGAACGTCGTGGCAAAAGCCCATGCTGTTTTCTCTGTCAAAGTCTTGCTTCGATCACCAAAACACCAGGATGCCTTTTCGTCTCTTGGGCCTGCTTGAATGCTTCTGCTATGGCGGTGCGCTTTCTATGCAAACTTGACAGGATTAGTTTGCATTTTTGCCCGCGAAAACAGCCTCCTGCTCTTGCCAGACATTACTGAGAAGATGCCAATACACGAGCGAGAAGCTGGCGGGACGCATGCTTCCTCATAGAGTTATTGCTTAGTTTTTTCCAGCTTCTAAACCTTGTTTACCAGACCACATGTTAAGCGAGATTGCAGAAAAATTTTAAACGAGATAACAGAAAAGTATTGCAGGAAAGTAATTTTTGTCCTTAATCCGAGCGCTATTTTTGAGGCAGATTTGGGTTGCTGGGAATTCATTATGTTCTTGAATTTTTTACACAAATCTTTCTTGTTCCCTGGCGCTATGAAAAATTAATTTGAGGAAGCTCGATAAAATGGCGGCTTTCCACATGTCACATTCTTTGGGATACCATCTATTATTTCTGGCGGTTTGTGTCCATGGATTTTTCGGCGGTGGTCCAACGCACGCTGATGAGAGGATTTGCATAATTGCTTCTCTTCTTTTAATGAAGTTAGCAACTTTTTATAGCTGTTTACCGGCGAATGAAGAGTAGCTGAAAAAATACTAGCTCACAGCGTGGAGCGAAAGTAGCTCCTTTAGTGAGATGTGTCTAAAGTTTGAGCATTCGTTACGATACTCCGCGTTCCTGAAGGAATGCGCTGGAATTGAGACAGCTAGCGCAGGTTGACCTGCTTACTTTTTGGATTGTTCGCCTAGTTTGAATCGATGAAACTGAAATTTCAAAAATTTTATTACTTCAAATGACGTTGGAATGAATAAAATTATACAATCGAGTCGTGAATACTAAAATGATATTTCCTCCAGTGCCCGCAAATTTAACAATCGTCGATTGAATGGCAAAATTTCTAATACCAAAGTATCTCGGTATAATGATGACAATTTCGGTATAAAAATGACAATTTCGGTATAATTATGTCTGATTTGTGATTTTCTTATTTAAAATATTAATAATATTTGATGCTTGCAAATTTTGTGCGAGCGACTACGCTTGGTATGCTTTTTATCGAGTCAGATTAAAAACTTGCATGATGCTGGTAGTCTGTATTATAGCCGATGCGAGAGAAGCGTCGCAAGTGTGGACCTTCCTGCCACAATTAGGGCAGGTGGTCTTGTGCTATTGACTTCCAGGAGCTATAGCTACCTTACATACAACCAAGCGAACTTCGTACTTTCTACCGATCTACTTTGGCGGTATAAAATAATATTTTATCGATCACGTTTAAATTTTAGTATCGGGATTCAATTTTACTGTCCAAACTTCATTGAATCGCGGACCAACCTGCATATACGTACCACACTAGCAAGTATCTTTTTATTGTCATGACTTGACATTTGCCTAAATTTCACTAAGTTTGAATTCGTATATAATTTTCCTAAATACTCGCAAACAATTTCCGATAACAGATGTCTAAGTTAACTATTATTTTGAAGCTTAGAATAACTTTGTGAACAACGAGATAAGTTCCCTGCAGAGGCTTTTCCTGCAGTATATGCTGGCAGACGTGGCGTCAGTGGATCGAAGTTCTCGTCTCATTGTACTGATGTTAGGAATGCCGTGTAACTGGTTATTATAGTGCAATGACTCATGCCGTCTGTCTTCTGTTTTCTCCTTATGGAGTGAGTCATGATTGCCATTATTCTGTTGCCCTGCCCGACGGTTTAATTGTCTTCCGTCGCATGACTGCCTGTATATATTCTCTAATTCTCTATTTTAAATTCGATTGCAGCTTATCAACGACGCATTTAATTCTATTAGTTTTGAATAAAACAATGAAACTGAGATCGAATTGATATGATAAAGTTTTCTCCTTCATTAATAAGTCAATTTTAAGATAAGATTTTATTCCTTCCACTATTGATTCCTTTATATCTATGAGGCGAAGAATAGATGATTTTCGTTAACTGATTAAAGTCTGCCATAAGATTAGCATCCAATAATTTTGTATATGTGCCCGGCCTTCTGGTAAAATTATATTTTTGCAATTGTTGAAATATCCGTCGATAAAGGAGCGCAAGTAATTGTTCCCGGCCTAAATGCTGTGTAATTCAAAGCATACAACCAGCTTTTCAAGCACCGGAAATGTTAGAGTCAATCTCTCTCTTCTTGCCATTGCCCGCCTGCTGTATCGCGTTTAAATTATGTGCTTCTACCTTAGCGGTCATTATGGTCGCTCCGTTGAATTTTTCAGCTTATCCAAGTGCGTGTAATTTTATGAGCCCACAAAGTTAGGTCGACAATGGAGGTTTAATGAAGTGCGTGAGATGAAGCAGGTTTAGTGAGAGGCCGTCGTCTGGTGGTGCTGCTGCTGCATATTCGTGAATGCTGGCCACCGCAGAAGCGAGTCGGGCATCAATTTCACTCAAAAATACACAAGCGCAAAATTACAATTTCAACGTTGCGCCTTGATCTTTGATTGAAAATGTTTACAGTTACCTTTTCGAACTAGTTGTACTTAAAATTATGGCAATTCTAATACATAGGTAATGACAAATAAACATCAAAATTTGGTTTGAAGATGCAAATCGTTTATGATTACTTTATCATAAACAGTCGATGCTGTCAAAATATTTGGTATTAGGTGCATTTAATAGATATTTTAGGAGGAAACTATCTACATTTCAAATGATTGAATAAAAGCTGTTTCCGATATTACTCGACGAGATACCACTTCTTGAGTGTTTCAAAAAAAGCGGAATGACTTCTGATTTTAGTGTATGAGCCACAATTTCACTTGAAAAGGTCTCTTTCTATTTCTTGAACGTAGTAGGGATTAATGTTCTTTAGATAAGAGAAGATACGATAATAATCAATTAGATACGATAAGATTCAATTAATAATAATTGGTATGAACACGGTGGCGTAGCCTCATACACATACGTAAATTAGGCCGTAAGTTGCATTTTAGGACGGAGATTTCACGTTACTATGCATGGTAAATTCCTATAGTAAAGGGTCATCTTACAGTAAATGCATCCAAAGTGACAGAAAATATTTTTAAACGCACCGTAAATGAAAAGACTTAAGTTTTGAGTTTGCCCTCAGGGTCTAGTCGCCGCGACCAGACCACTTGATGAAGTTAACGTGCTGAAGGCTCAAAGTTGTAAGCTTTTTTTGGCTCGAGGTAACTGGATGCATATTGTCGTCAACAACGTAACTCTTTCCATTCATATCTTAGCATATATTCATGTTATCAGATGACCGACTGAAAATTCGTCTGAGTGGAATAGACGATGAAGTAGATATTTCAAATCTATTAATTTACTTCAATTTGATAAATGAATAAAATATCGATTTTTTCTCGAAACTTCCCAATCGAAATTATCGCGTAATCGAATCATTGTTGCTCTCGTGAAAATTAAGACGCTGAACTAATTTCTGTGGCATTTTTTCTGATTTAAACATAATTTGCTATCAATGTAAAGGTGGCGAAGTGCTTCGTTTTCGATGGCTAATTAAACCTCTGAAATATCATTTGGTACCATTCATGACTGCATAATGTTCTGCGAGCAAAATAGCGAGTGTGTGATGTGAACTATGGCAAAGTTTCTCTTGGAGATCTCTTATCACAATGTTTTTCATAAATGGCAAAATTACGAGTATGAAAAAGTGTTCTGTCGGGTTTGACGATCGGCATTAAGCTTGGTTTAATTGATTGCATAACATCTGAATACATAAAGGATGTGAGGAACTGTTTATTGAATTATCCGCCGAATTGTTGGTCAAGCATTGTTGCATTCATGGGTTTCATTTTAGAAATTGTCATCATGCTTGCCTGTAAGTGTAAATCGTCACATAATTCATATTAATGAAGTCATATTCATAATTCAGGCATATTGAGTAAATTATTATCAAGATCTTCTCATATTAAATAACCTATGTGGGTTTTGCCTCCTAATTGCCGACCTATTGCGTAACATTTAGTTTTTGTGGACGGAGACTCTTGCAGAGTTTCTTCGAGCTCCAAGGACTTCGTTTTTTTTTCTTGAGCTCCAGTTATTGGCAAAACCTCCTAATTCTGACTAAAAAAGAGAAATTTAGCTGTCGTTCTTAATTACTTTGTTGGCTTGAAATATTCTAAATAATTACTTGTTGCTTGTATTCGAGACTAGTCTGACCAAAGTTTGGTTCCGTTGCAAAAACCATGTTGCTATTTTTTCTGAATTCTCATGGTTTTGGGCACTCGTATTTATCTATCCCGACCATTGGTCAAATATAGTCCCTGGAATGCCGAGTTTCGCAACAGTTTTTCGAAATTTTTTAGGGTATTTAATTCAATTTTAATTTTCTAGGAGTATACAACGTTGTCGCAGTTAAAGTTTTATTCCTATAATTTCTTTGTCGTAAATTTTAATATCAATGAAGTTCTAATTTATTTTAATTGTTTCTGTTTACAGTGATCTTGGCGCAAGAGCCGCGCCTCCTGATCCAGCCAGACGGACAGATCAGCAAGAGTCTGGGCGAGACAGTTTATGTGTCATGCCGCGCTGAAGTTTCTGACCCTAACCTGGTCACTGAGATGCGATGGACTGGCCCCGGCAGCAACGAGATTCCAAATTATGACAGAACGTGAGTACTACATCGCATTCGAACATGCGCTAACTTTTCCTTATGAATATTTTTCGTACCTATTCCGGGTTGTTTGCGGGTTGTGCTAGAAAATCATTCAAAAGGTTGTTTTTACATGTGCTAGAAGATCATTCAAAATCGATTCGTTCAAGAGAAATCACTGGATTTAATTATCAAAACCCATGTGTGTCCACTGATTGCGGATTCTTCCAGGGTTCTCCAGGATTGCTCATTTCATAAATTTTCACCTTAAATTTATCGCGGGTTTCATGTTAGAAATTATTGATGTATTTATTACGCCTATTATATACATCTTGAGGTCCAGCCTGAAAAACGAGTTTCACTCAGCGGGTGGTTCAAGCTGCTAACTCCACAATTGCGCACTCCTATACAGCTTATCGAAAATGCCAAGTGTTTTATCGAGTCATGAATCCGCGATTCGTGACGATGTTGAGTACGAGAAGAATTTTTGGTCTCCTAATTAAGAAATGAGGTGGAGTGAGAGCGACGCTGTAATGTGTTTAGCGTACGACCAGTAGCGAATATACCCTTGACCATAGCATTCCACGCGCATTCGCTCCGAGTTTAGCATAACTGCAGTGATAGCGCTCGTCTGGATCCATCATCTTAGTTAGGTTGCCAATTGTCTATTCAAAATCTACAGGTTATTTGTTGACGATAGTTTTTTTTTTCTCAGCAAAAAGTTGGCTGATAGCAACTTTATAACGATCCGGCCGTTTATTTTACCATCTGCTATCCAATACTAATTTATTCAGTTATAATGAACAGTTGTTTTTTACTTTTAACAACAAATTTTATTTTATAATTATTTGCATTGACACATCTAAGTCAATGACATATTTTAGAGCGAAACATGGGCCCAATAAAGAACCATTAAAACTTCGGTTAATACGATAACAACGGAACAACTCGTTTGAGTTACTTCGGTGTCTCAGCATCAAATTTGGCGATATAACACGTAATTTATCAGCTTCATTTCATAACTCTACTGATGCGAAAAAATTTTTTTACTGTAATACTCATACAATTCAAAATGTACCAATTAGTAAGATATTGCAAGAGATTAGATTTAGTTGATTTTAAGGGTTTTAATGAATAAGTAAGTTTTTTTGTACTATTAAATTTGGAATGTTTCTTGGCCTATTCCTAATATATAATGATTTACATGACGACAATTAAGTTCGATCCTGTGTTTCATCTTTATTCTCCATTAATATTTTGATTGGATATCGTCTTGTAACTACATGTACTCACTTACTTACGGATCTCACACCACTGAATAGCCCGAATGTCTGTTGCACGATTGTTTTATCGCTCATGTCCGAGTAGGCCACTGCACCGAAAGCAAATTTAAATAAGTTGATATAATTGCCAATTTGAACCATTTTCTAAATGAAAAAGATTCACACTGCAATTTGCCTAAAAATTGTCTAAGGGGCTCTAACAGCGAGTAAAATCACTTGCAGATTGTATCCTTTAATCCTAGAATTCTATGTTGCAATTTTAATCTCGGCTTTATTTTAGAGAGCAGTTTTAATTGTGTATCAGTAAATTAATTACAACTTTATTACTCAACACAATAATTTGTCGTAAACAAGATTGATATTACCATCACATTAGATGAAATATTTTCCTGCCGTTTCAATATTATTCTCTCAACTTTTTTGGCCTTATCGGCGGTATGTCACTTTGAGCCTCCAAGAGCCTCGTGTTTAAATAAAATAAACTGTGAATTTTTCCTTGCCGTGGCCAACCGAGCGAGCGTCTATGTACACGGTGTCACCATGAGTGTCAATATTATGCAAGCAACTCTTCATGCCTCATGTGCCTATCCTTCCCTTTCCTTCCGTCCTCTCTTCTCTCTACATCTTGAATCTTAACAACTTTCCTGCTTCATTATTTGCGATTTTTTCGCTAATTTGATGGTTCTAATTTACTAATTTCGTTTTCCTTTCGCTTCCGGCTTTTCATCCTCTAATTTACTCTTTTTACCTTTCTCCCTTCCATTCGTTTAATTTTTCTTTGCTCTTGAGTCATATTTGTTGGATTTTTCTGCACACTAATGCCGGTTCTTCCGTGCTCCTGATTTAACGTAACAAATGATCTCGCTTACTGAATTCTCCTCCTGCCTCCTTCCATTTCATTACAATTATACTCTCGTTGCCTCTTTATACTCTTATTTCCCCTCTTCTCCTTGGTTTCCCTCGTGCTCTTGTGTCCTTGCTACTGTCGCGGTATTGTGCCGCCGTCCCTCGCCGTACTGCCCACACCGTGCGCTCGTTGTGTGCTCCAGCAGGCCCGGTGCGAGGTATGTCTTCACCTCTCTTCTCCAAATCAATTCCATTTCCATGAAACATTTTCTTCATTCATCGTACCCTCTACTTACTCCCTTTATTTCATTCCTTCTACTTCAATTTGGTAGAAGTGAGGTACAGTACATTCTACTGCATTCATTACTATAGTAATGATTTTCTTTGTTTCACCTCTCGTAGAATCTAATGATCAGACTGAAAGTTCTTTAACGACGAATTAGTGAAGCGGTCAAAGTTTCTTGAAAGATTTCATGAAAAGAAAAAATTTTAGTAAACTTTACTTCCATAAAAATGCGTAGGTACTTTTGAATGACTCCTCTTCCATATTGAATGGACTGAGATAGTTATTTAATGATTAAAGCCACCTTCACTTCAAATAACCATAATTATCAATAAACTATGAGGAGTGATCATAGTAGACTTGTCACCGTTACCATCACCAGTGTATTCGCATTCATCTCTCATACCGCCTCTAGTTGCCACTTGCTATCTTATGATCTATGTGCACGGTTCCTGTTTTGCAACTTACGAACGCTCGCTGTCTAATTTATGAAGACATCGTAATCAGAGAATTCTTGTCGTAAAGAAGTCAGTTCATTATTGAGTTGCATTAGGAATTTTATTTATTGGCTTTTCTGTGGCTATACCCTTTACTTATTTTTTTTATGACTATTATTCGCAAGTTTCCTTAGACCTCCTATGTCCAAGCACTTTTCTTGAAAACCTAGTCGTCTGAGTAAGCGATGCTTCTCAGGTTCAGAACGGTGGTCGTTATCATGGATCTGAACTTTTCTGAATCACGGAATTTTTTTCTCATCTATTCTCTCAATCATTTATCAATCAACTTGGGCATTTCCATATATTTACCGTTAAGCGTTATCATCATTCTACGTTTCCTCATTTGTTCTTTCCCCGTCTTGTTGGAATGTATTTGCCTGGAATGCGACGTACGTAGATCTTTTTGCTTTTTCCCCCTCTTTGCACTTTTACACAATTGATCCGAATGCCACAAGCTATATTCCTCGAAATGCTTATGTGTGTTTTTGGCAGATGCTACTTGTGTGCGTCTTACAATGAAAGTAGATGTGTCATTTTATTTAATTGGATATCAGCAAATGGTAGAGGCTAGTCTGCTTTGGATGTTGGTGGTATTTCAGCCAGAAAAGTAGCAATCCAGGCCATTTATGTCGCATGATGTGTTTTATCCGTTCTTGTAAAATTGCGTTCGTTTTTAATCCAGAACAGATTTGTGCTGTTTCGATTAATAAAACGTAAGATTAATGAGTTCGGCTAACAAATGTTCACATTTCACATTTGTATATATACACGCATTATGTAAGTATGATTCGGAGTTGGGTTCCAAAATTCAGTTTTAATCAAACCCAATTTGCAGCAATTGTGATAGGGTTTTTAAATTATCATAAAGCCGAGTCCTTATGGTTTCAGGGCTGCATTTTAAGATTTTTGGAAACTTTTATTACCTATTGCAGTTCTATAATAAGTGATTTCCTCTTAATCGCGACCTAATTTTTAATTATTCGTGCCTCTCAATGGCTGTTTTCTTTCTTGATCGTATATATTTACACACCTACTGGTGCATGGTTTACTTATCTATTTAAAACTATATATTTGTTTGCATAATTTGGGTAGTTTACACTTGAGATTTTGTGCTAAATTTAGTGAAGTGGACCACATGCCTAGAAATTGTGTTCCACTCTGCTCGCCTTTTGTTCCTCCGATTCGTTTTAATTTTTTCTGAAACATTATGAATTTTTCTGTTTGGACTGTCCTGAATTTATGCATGCCTTCATATTTTGAATTATTGGATGGGCCTTCTTTTTGACCTAAATCATCGATTTTTAGTTTATTATCACAAAGTATATAGTGGCTGATGATGAATTTCATTGTAATTACAAATCGATTGCAGCTTTCCATTTAATTTTTTCTTCCTCGTTTGTACTTTATTTTGTCTGTAAAAATTTCTCGTGTTTTCTGTTGTTTTTAAACCCTGTATTAATAAAATCTGTACTCAACTAGAGTGCCCGGCAGTGATCGAAAGATGATCTGATTTTCTGGATGCTCTTCAGAATCGAAATCATCGAAGATGGCCCAGGAAGTCTGGGTTTGTACATCCAGAAACTGCGTGAAGAGGACACTGGCACCTACAACTGCTCTGCCGTGTACGCGGGCAATCAGAATCTCATGTCATCTATACAAGTCATGTCTTTCGGTAAGATCCTAAACGCTTCTGTCCATAGTTTCTTAAGTCAGTTTCATCATTTCATGATTTAAGATGTTGAAAGTTTTCCCTTATTGTAAGTAAATACTTACCCTTCACTGGGCTTCTGTGTTTTTGTCGTCTTACTGATGGTTAGCCTCATTCCTGTGAAAAATGCTCCCTGTCGCCACAGTAATCTTGTGTTTAATATTTTCCGAGTAAAGCACTTGAGTAAGTTATGTCTTAGTCCAATTCTCCTAACAGAGTCTTTATGATATTTCCACATAAGTGCTTATCGTTTACCGAAATATTGCATGAATTCAATTTCTGTGATAGTGTAGTTTCCTTTCTAAAAAGTTTTTTTTTCAGCTGAATAAATGATTGTTAGCTGAATAAATGATTGTTTTGCAATAAAATCGATTTCAAACTCATTTCCAATGTATGAATCATCCCACGTAAATTGGAACTTATCATCCATTACAAAATACAAAGTTTATTATCCTCTCACTTATCCAAAATATTGCGTTTCTCCGCGCTCGCAGACTGAAATCATTATTCTACGATTGTGCCATTCTTTATGCACTATAGAGTGCCAGCCAGATGACAGAGTATGGTGTAGGCATGTAATATCAATTGCTCAATGTAATATGATTATCGATTCAACATGATAAATTTGGTACATCTTTCTGCATCATAGACCATATTGCCGAATTGTGTATTTTGAAACATCGGTCAATTGTTTGATGCATTCTTGTCTTGAAAATTTACTACCGAATCATTTCAAAACTGGAAAAGTTTATTTAAACCTTGCTAACAAATGAAGGCCCGTGTTAATTGAGACGTTAGTCATGAGCCGGAAAAAAAGTATTAATGCCATTTTTGTTGCAGTGAAAATCGATTTCGGCGACACGCCGAGCCACCAGACGCCCATCGTAGGAACGGACGCGCTCATCAAGTGTCTGGTCACATCCAGCCCCTCCCCTGTCATAGACTGGCTCAAGGACGGACGGCCTCTGCGTACAGGTGAGTTCTTCTGCATTCTTATTTTATTTACTGTAGAATCTTTAATTATTTTTAGAGCATTCATTTTGCTGTTGCTCCACCTTTTGTACAAATTAGACGGTATTCTGATATAAGATATATATTTTTCTTTCTATGCAACGTTGCCCGATCATCCTTGAGTTTAGAATTTCGAGAATTTAGAAACTGCTCACAAGTGTCCCCTCATTATCTTCTAAGGTGCTCACAATTAGTCATGCTGCGGTCAAAGGTTTCGGATGTGTTCGGATGCTCGTCATACTAACCAATTTTATTTGATATGTCAGACGAGCGGCACATCATCCAGCAAGACGGTGTGCTGGTGCGCGGTATCACCGAGGGCGACGAAGGCGTCTACCGCTGCCGCGCACGCGTTGCGCTCCTCGGCGCGCTCGACAGCCGCGACATTCAAGTCGAGGTCTACGTCCCGCCTAAAATTACAACACGACCTCAGGTCAGTCATTGTTGGTCATGCCTGAGAAAGTATGAAGTCATTGTTCGTCATGTCTGAGAAAGTATGAAGTCATTGTTCGTCATGTCTGAGAAAGTATGAAGTCATTGTTCGTCATGTCTGAGAAAGTATGAAGTCATTGTTCGTCATGTCTGAGAAAGTATGAAGTCATTGTTCGTCATGTCTGAGAAAGTATGAAGTCATTGTTCGTCATGTCTGAGAAAGTATAAAGTCATTGCTCGTCATCTCTGAAAAATTATGAAGTCATTGTTCGTCATGTCTGAGAAAATATGAAGTCATTGTTCGTCATATCTGAGAAAGTGTATGACAAGTAAGTCCATTCTCAAGTTTGCTATTGGATGATCTGGAAAGTCTAGTTCCGTATGCTCGAAAATTAAGAATTAATCCTTACAACTCTTGCTTGTTTTTCCTCGACACGTCGGGTATTATCTTGGAGAGGGATTCTCTATTTGGTTACTTATCTACTTTTTTATAAATAATTTTTTGCTTAGTGGCCACTTATGTGCGAATACCTGATCGGGCATTATTGAATTTCTTTTGTAGCCTGACCCTATACGTATTACGCGGCACCCTCCCACCGCAAAAAAATCAATTTTTAGAATTTGATTCGTTTTTTTTTTATCTCTTTCGTTGAAAATATCCTAACAATTGTTTCTTGATAAGGCGATGATTGGTATTGAACATATAAACCAATGATGGCATTTCATTAAGAATCTGCGTTTGTAATTATTATGAATCCGAGGTGAATCCGATCGCCATTAGGTGATCCGATCGTATTAGGTGAATCCGATCGCTTTGGAAAAACATTTGACAACAGTCAGAACAGTCAACGGATTATGAACGCATAGCCTATTCGAACTTTATGTTCGCTTTCATTGTATAAGTTTGCTTCGCCAGGACACCTCGGGTGTAGAAAAAGAAGCCGTGACCTTCCAATGCGTCGCTGAAGGCAAGCCAGCACCGAAGTATTCTTGGGTTGACGATCAGTCGCGACCTCTGGGAGGCCAGGAAGGCTACTACGTTGACGAAGTCAAGGGTGAGCTCACCGTGCTCGATTTGAGGCCTGACCAAGCCGGCACTTACCGGTGTACGGCCACTAATCCTGCCGGTAACGACGTGGCTGAGGCTCAACTCAGGGTTCTCACCAAGCCTAAGCTGGAGCAGTTCTTGAATATCACTGTCCCTGTGGCTGGCAATGCTGAATTCCGGTGCGTGTTTAGCGGCGACCCGAGACCGAATATCAGCTTTCAGAAGGAGACCAGCGTCGAACCGTTCTATGATGGCATCAACTCTGACGCTAGAATTGAAGTTGAACAGACTGTTGATGACTACGGCAACAGTGTTGGCATGTAAGTTTGCTGAAGATTCTTCTTTAAAATGTAAATAAACTGATTTAGTTTAGTCTGATATAGTGATATATCCTAAAATCTTTATTTCAAAATGAAATATTGTGTAGCGAAACGATCGTATAATTCAAATAAATTTATTTACGTTTTTTATTGTGATCCGAATGCTATTTGTCTAATATTGTCATTCTTGCGTACATCAGTCGCAACTAGAGCATTAATTTTATGCTAATTGTGCAGCATGAAGATCAGTGACGTGAAGAGGTCTGATGACGGCCTATACACGTGCACGGGCTCGTCAGGAGGAGGCGAGACCATAGGCTGGGGGCACATTACCGTTCAGTTCGCGCCCACCTTCGAGAAGCAGCCCACCGACGAGTTCTGGTCCTGGGAGCAGGAGAAGGTCAACCTTACCTGCGTCGCCTCCTCCATCCCTAACGCCACAAGTGAGTCAAGATATAGTTAATTAATGCTAAATTATTCGCCCTGGTTCAGCTTAATTATGTCCTTTCATAAGAGAATAAGAAACTCGTAATATGACTTGTTCAGAGTCTGAGAAAGTCTCACTTTAGTGCTAGTCACAGTTTCTGGAGAAAAGATCTAAGTGCTGTACTCAGATCGCTCGCATTGATCTATCCTGGATGCAATATTTGCTCAATAATAAAGTGTGGTCAGGCTGCCATCGTGCCTTAACTAGATGATCTGATCGAGTTGAAGTCTTCAGGTTTGATTGCTTCAATAAACGATAATAAATTTGAGACCGAATACATCTTGCTCTGATTGAATAACCTCTGTAATAATGTAGATTAGGTATTATAATATAGCAGGAACTCATCACTCGAGTAAATTGAACGAACAAATTCCAATATTTCGGAGAGTGACACAGGAAGGACTAATGGCTGGTAATGCAATATCATGAGCCAGATAATATCTTGACTTGAAATGAGTTCTACGTAACTTGTACAATACTGTCAGTTGGCTATTTGCTCGAGTTTATTTATACCCTGAAAAAGTCTAATCCCTGAACCACTTAGCGTAAATTATTCACGTGGTAACAACTGCTCCACACTTATGAATAAATTACAACTATGACTATATTGTGAGATCATAGTGCCTGAATGTGAGTTGTTTTTCGATAAATGAATGTTCTTATTACCTGTTGAACACATTTAACGTAGGATTTACGCGTATCAATGCAGACAAATTTATTATTAAAGCGACTGTGTTTTTCCTCTCACCCTGTTTCAAAGCGCACATCTTGATTGCCTAAGTTTTCAGCTAATAACGAAGCCCAAAAATAATGATAACTGATAAGTTAAAGCTCATAATTAAACTTACATCAATATAACTTCAACAGAGCATCTGGATCGACTAACTGATAGCTGCATTATGTTTTAGCTTTTCAGAATATTCGTTATTCAAATTTATATTTGTGTATATTCTCAAACTTTTATATTTTTCTAACAACCATTGTAAAATTTCAGTCCAGTGGTACATCCGCAATGAAGAAATTCCTCAGCGGGACCCCAACCTGCGAGTGCTCGCCCTCGGGCCCACAGGGGTCCTGGAAGTCAACCCCCTCGATAATTCCTACTTCGGTGGGTGGCACACGGAAAAAATTTGGATTATTTTTAGTGAGCTACGTTATGCTTCATGAGAACAACGGTTTAGAAGATGATGTCGTAATTTAATTAGTGATGCTTAACATTAATGACTTAAATGAGTTGTAAACCTCGCATCCCATGCAAAAAATATTAAAATTACTGTATTATGGTACGGTACGTGATGCATGTTGCAGAATAGGTCTTGGATATGATGCTATTTTGACGATGTCAATGAACGAAGTATTTTAGAGAAACTCTCTACAATGGAAATCATCTAGATTTTTATACATAAAAATGGAAAATTAGTCTGAAGATTTTATTTGTCATGTAACTGTTACCTATCGAAAAAACAGATTACGATGATCTGCTAGGTTCACGTCAAAGTATTTGTATGCTATTTTTGTTTTTGAAAAATCTGATCGAGCTCGGCTAGATGAGCTCGGGCTCGAGCTCGGGTCATACTTTCAAAATTCGCTAAGTGAACGTAAGTACTTGCGCTCTATTTTCTTGTCTACGATTGGTGGATTTTGCTTGAATGGCCATCAATGATTGGCTGATGAACTTACGATCTCTCAACTTTTTTTGAAAGTATAGGCCCGGGTGGTTTAGAAGCGGCCGCAAGCCAGCTGGGCCTCATCCAAGCTGCCACCACTTATTATTTATTATTAGGCAACTATGTATATTACTAAGCTGCTCTATTACCATTAGTATATTATAGTATGTTTGTTGTGTAGGAACCTACACCTGCCAGGCGACCAACGAGCTCGGCGTGGTGAACCACGACGTTACGCTCAAGCAGGTCCACAAGCCCGGCCCCGTCACAAGCGTCAAGGTAAAATTACTCCGAGTATCTAGAAGTTTTTTTATAAAATATTTTATTTATAAATGGAACATCACTCACTCGTGTCACAGCTCAGTGACTCTCGGAGTCGGTGTAGGCCACCATCAAAGGCGTTAAGGTCGGGGCCATGATTATTTACATGAAACCATTCCCTGTTTTTAATTAATAAAATTAATTGTTTTCCGTTGGAATGGTGTGTATGAATAAAGTGAATGGAAAAAAAATTAAAAGTCATAGAACGATGAAACAATAACTTTGATTGATATGAAAATATTGGAATTTGATTTGTGCTAACAGTGTGAAATTTTTGTCATATCTTCCATCTAGAAATTCTCAGCCTATCGACTCACATTCAATCATATTATTGTATCATTTATTCATGGCTATTCTTCCATGTTTAAACTTGGATAGTTCGTTTCATATTCATCATTGTGTCAGGGTATGTTACATGTACATTTCTTAAATTTGTAATGTTACGTATAATGTCGCTGGTTATTGTAGGTGGACAAAATAACAGCAACGACCATCACTTGGCGCATCTTGGAGCCTCATGATAACGGCGGTCGCCCCATCACATCCTTCTTGGTGCAGTACAAACTCCGCAACATGGCCTGGGATGATGCCGAGGCTTCGTCCTGGACTAAAGGTGCTTTCCCATCTTGTATTTCACCATTTTTTCTTTTTTTGGAATCTGAAAAGAATGGCATCGGTAGTTAATAAAGAAAGATTTAGTTTATTATTTGAAAAGTGAATCTCAATTTTTCGCGTTTACTTTTTTTTATAGCCATAATATGATGACTAATAAACTTTTTCATGTTTTATAGGCTCTGCTTATACGCTGGAGAGATTGCTGCCCAAAGAACACTACGTCTTCCGCTTCGCTGCTAAAAACGAAGTTGGAATATCCGAGTGGTCTGGAGAAAAGGTTAGAGTTTTATTAGCCTATATTTTTTAATTAGCTGTGGTGTCAAAATGTAAAGTTGATTTTGACATCAAAAATGTTGTCTTATCTTAATGTCTGTAGACTTTTTTCGCCCGTTAATTGTTCTGTCTTGTTTTGTATCTAATGACAGAGTTCCCAAAATCGTTAACTAATACTTAATTTCCGAATTTAACATTGTAATTTAATCTACCTAAGTTATAAAAGATTCAAAGAAATTCTAGACTTATGTTAGCATATCCGAGTTTCTTTGTAATGTGTTCGAACTGCACTTAGCTCTACGAGTTCTTACCTTGTTTTAACCCGTTAATAACATCAAACTATTGTTGTTCTTCATTGACGTACGTTTTTGATCAGTCGGAGCAAATGCCGGAAGTAACCGTGCCGGAGGAGCCACTGATATTCGTCAACGACGAAGGCGTGAATTTCGTGCCCTACACCGACCACTACGACCTACAGTGGAAAACTCCTCTCGACAACGGCGATCCTATCAACTACTTCACCGTCATCTACTACCAAGTATGTTTCATCTTTCTCAATTGAAATTTTATCAGTTTCGAAATAAGCTAGCGCCTAAAATTATCAGCCTAAATTTAGCAAAAACTTTGTAACAGACTGCTTCATCTTTACTCAATGCGATTAATTTCATTTACGCTTTACCTTCCGTGTCTGTTCAAGGATTATTAGTAAGCTATTATCAAGGTCAAAAAGGTTTGTTTTATTAAACAATTTTAGATCCATCGTAGTCTCAAATATAAAGTCGTAAAACGCAAATGTTTAAATGAGATCGGATCCGTTGATTTGAGGTGGCTGAGTTTATTCTACAGCGTCAATGTTCTTGTTAATAAATTTAATTTATTTGCAGGTGGTTGAAGATGGTAGCGGCGGGTGGAAGACTCTTGGTGCCAAAATAGAGAAGACCGTCGAGTTCCCAGGCGTGACCACCTACCAGATCCAGAAGCTGCGGCCTGACACACACTACCGCATTGAGCTGCGCGCCCACAACTCCATCGGCTACAGCTCTCCTGCCGAGCTCGTCATCAAGACGGCGCACGGTAACGTACAATATGAGTCTTTTCAACCTGTATTATTGATATCACAGGCCAATGGCTTTAACGACAGTTGATGTATCGACAGGCAAAGGGTTTTAAAGTAGCATCAGATTCGTTAATTTTCTTTATTTTGTTCACTTTTCGTAGATAACTCATTCAGTCAAGGGGAAAAACATGCACAATCTGGTCGAAATTCTAAATTCATTTATCATGTATGAGACATTTTCTTTACGTGTGCTTTATACCCTTTTGTTTAGCAGCCCGATTTCTGTGAAGTACGACTTGGAGTATTATATCTGCTATACATAGATAATCCCAAATGTAGTTTATGAATTCTATTGGTTCCTCTTAGAGCTCTCGGATTGCTCACAATAAGTAAAATTCATTGGGATAAAAACAATCTTTATGGTAATAATGTAAGCGTTAGCAGTTGGTTGGTGCATGTCAGTATACATGTTGGGAGTTTGTTTTAATTTACGTGTTTGTTGTGGACTTTGATCATATGATATTTGCCTGTATGAGCATATGGGAAATGTCCCAATTATTATTCTACGTAGCTTTCCATCAAAAAGCTATATATTTTAAAATTTAATTTATATTAATTTCTTCGCACTATTCGCTTTGAGTATATCACTTCAGTAATTGATTAAGTTGCATGTAATTTGTTGCTCATTCGATGATCGAAGAATTGGCTGATTAGGAGCACGCTTCTTATATCGTAATGTGTACATCACTTTTCCTATCTGCTCGTATAGCGTAATGGCCCGTGACATATACTCTAGTCCCATGTCCCAATTATGTCGGAATAAATTTCAGTGGGTCGTTTTTACAATTGTCAATGCGCCTTGAATATTTTCGTCTAATTCGTGTCGCCCCTGATTGCAATTTTATCCCTGCACATTACCTCAATACCTCATTAAATTTTATGTTTATATTATAATATCTCTCCCTGTGGTGAGCTCCTTGCCTTGTGATTGCAGTGAAGAGAGCTTTTTGCTTGAGTGATGATTTCTCTGTGTCGGGTGAAACTTTAGCGATGAGTCTTATTCATTGACGTAATGTGAGTCATGCGCCTGTGGATGACTGCTTCAGTCGTGTTACGTTTCATTCAGGCGTTCAGAATGAGTGGACTTGTGCAATGACCGAAGTTCCGTTTTTTTGGAGAGCTGTCGTGTGAAACGAGCTATACAGCTCAAAATGAAGATTCATCGAGTTTCCGATTTTGAATATGATTTTCAAGCTTACCGAAGACGGTTCGTTTTATGCTGTCAGCATCTTACGAACTAAAAGACCTGACTATAAATAAATGCCTGTGTTCTAGTTCATTTCTGAATGTGAAGTGAACTGATTTTTTTTCTTTGTTGTGAATGTAAAAGTGAATCATCCAGTTGAGTGCCGGAGGTAAGTGAGATACGAGCTCGTTGGTGTGGCCATGAGGTGTTGACAGCGGCCTGGTGTGTGGCCATGAGGTGTTGACAGCGGCCTGGTGTGTGGCCATGAGGTGTTGACATGAGTGTTGACAGCGGCCTGTCTGGTGCCCGCAGATCCACATGCCCCAGTGTCGGATGACGCGCCTGGCACGGCAAGCAATCACCTCAGTAACCGAGCGACTGGTCTGCATTGCGAACTCGTCTCTTTAGTGCTACTTCTTCCTACTCTGCTGCTGCTTATATCACGCTTTACTCTCTTTGACTTTCAAAGCTTAACTGCTAGATGCAGGAAATAAGGTTAATTAAGTGTATGAATAACAGAGACTTCTCGCCCCCATTCCCTCTCTATAGACTGAGATGCAATACTTAATTGCCTTTGTGGAGATTCTGCTCGATCGTCTTCCTGCAAGTTGCGTTCCAGCTGGACTCGAAAGATAATTTAAAGTCGTGTAAATTTAATTCACTTTAACGTGAACTTTCATTAACATACGTCCCACGAATTGCCTTCACAAATGTCAATGAATTGAGATCTTATTTCTAATAATTGCTACAAACCTTTTCCGATGTCATTCATTGGAGAAAAACAATTTCGGCGTTTACCGGTATATATAAGCTTATATTTCTTTGTTGCCAATCCAGCCATGAGTGCTCGCGTTTTCGCTGGAAAACTTATGTATATGTAATTAAACTACATGCGTCACAATCCCAACTTTTCAATGACAATTTTATTTATATTTAGGAGTGATGTATGCATACATTTAAGGATTAGTTTATATTGACTTCATGAGAATACTGTACATAGAAAGATGTAAGCGGTTGTGGCAAGTGTCAGAGTTGATGCTCTTCATGTGGAGGGCTGCATAGAGAAATCTATAATCTATATCTTGCCGAAAATCACTTGACTGCATCGAAAAATTGTTTTTGAAGTTGCGCCTTATACGCATTGATTATCACATGCGTCCACAATACGAGAGTATTCTCAACAATCTTCTTAAGCTAATTTTGAGGGTGCAAAACTATATAAGGAGACGTTCAAGTATAGCAATTCTACTGTCGTGTTATTCCACATTATTAGTTTCCAATTATTTCTCGATTAATCATAGGCTAAGATAAAGATTGAATTCTCAAAATAAGATTCATGAAATAACTATTTAAATATGATTAATTTACTGATCCACTCTATTGCGGAATGGATGGAATAGATTGCTGGATATTCTATTCGTTAGTCTAAGGTCATTGGGGGCGCGGAAACCAGACTAGCACTTCACATGATGTATTTTTCATTTCAATTGCAGTCCATACAAGTTTTTAATTTCAATGATAATAGGTAGACATTAAAATATTGAACTTTTTGTATTGTAAAAAGTCGATATTTGTTTCGCTGGACATGAGTAACGGGACGTGGTATGAAATATCTGCGCGTAGACTTGACTTGTGTTCAGCTTCTTGCTTCATTTGCTGCTTATGTTGCTCAAGTGCCTCTGTTTTTATTGCGGAATCGCTGGTTTGCGTAGAGCACGTCAAGAATTTGTGCTTGATTTTTGAGGAAAATTCTTGTATGGTAAGGATATCACACCAAATAATTTGGAAACATTATAGAACTTCTACGAATTTTTTTCTTAAAATATAAATGTAATCGTTTTCATTGTCTATTCCCTGCTCATTTGCTACTACAAGTTCCAAATTATTCGGTTATGTGTGCTGGGTGGGATGAGAAAATTTTTTTTATGGGATGATCCTTGTTTTCTCTTTCATTTCTTAATTCGTTTCCGTTTTTTTCCACGATGACGCATTCCTTTCAATCGCATACGTTTCCCAATAATAGCTTATACACTATATTCAACCCTCTACCGCCGTATGTCACGTTCCGATCCTTCAAGTTAAATTTTACGTAAATTATTGAGTGTAGCAACCTGAGGACGTTTGTACGCAACGGAGAACACTTTCAAGTTGTCGTACGTGGCGGCAACCATCAGTGCAAGTCATTTTGCGCTCACTAGCAACGTATCCTTTTTGGGAAGTAGCTTGTTACAATATTGCTTTGGTTACTCATGTCAGGCGGTAGAGGGTTAATTGATTTAGTGTATCAAAATTGCCATGCGTGGGTGAGTACGGAGTTGTGTAATTAATGTGATATGGCGTGCAGCTACACTTAGGTGATACCGTGAGTCCTTAACCTCACTATCTCTTATCTGCCTTCCTGACCTCTAGAGTGTCTCGAGTAGTTAATGAATTCAAATTTCGGCGACGAACGTAAATTGACCCGTTGCCCATAAAATTGTAATTTTAACAAAAATAATAGTGGGCGACTGCGCTTCACCGTACTTTCGTTTAGGAAATGACATTTTGTATTGGCGCAAAAAACAAATTTAATGACTTGGACGACTGACTGACTACCTTTCCGCTCTATGCATTTAGTTGAAACTCGTCGCGCATTGCCTAGGACATTGCATTGCAGACTGACGATAAACGGTCCCCTCTTCAGAACAAAATTCTTCTTTAATACACTCTTGAAAATTAGGAATCATGTTTACCAGGAATCGCATGTACGTAGCACTCGCCATTATGGCCGTCTTGACTTCATGAATTTAGACCAAAAAAGAATCGCCAGTTTGATTCGCTCTTGAAGTATAGCTTAGTGAAAGGCTGTAATATGACTCACTTCGTCTTATATGATTAGTCGCATCCACCTACTGCGTGATTTAATCGACGATACTAAACAGTTCTGGACATTGCTTATATTCGAATAGTTTTGAATATTTTACCATCTTCTCCTACATCCGCCTTGCAGTTGTGAACATTTCTTAGTCCTCTCATGATTCTCTTCTGATATTCCTGTCCTCTGCGCTACTACACTTGTGGACATTTTCTCGACGTATCTCTTTACGGGGAACCTAACTCAGACCAGAATATTCGACAAATTTTAGGCAATTACCGAGATACTGTCAAGTTTAGACCAGCTGTTCATGTTGCTGCACCGATAATTCTCTGTATTCTTTTGTATAATAATAAACATTCCTTTGAAGTTATTTCACTTGAATTTTATCCCGAACGCTCATAACGCAGGACGCAGCGTGCCTGCCTGCACACGTCGATGTGCGTTAAATAAATACGAATGCTGAAGTACAAAAGTTTTTATGTATGATTTTTCTTTCTTTAGTTCCATTTTCATGTGATTTTGCGAGCGCTGACTTGCGTCTCCGACTGAGATGAGACGAGGTGAGTGCTTATGAAGTTCTCGTTCGTTAGTTGTTCTTTGCACCTCACTGTAAATAAAGTCTTAAATTTCATTTATTATTCTCTATCGCTAAATTGACTCAATCAACCAGCATACAAAATTAAATATTATGTTAACAATACTTTTTACTTAACCAGTTAGATTGGCTCATTTCCTGAGTTTTAATTAGAAAAAATAAACATCTTTTATGCTAGCTGCGTTTTAGTGTATAAATTTTCCGTTTAATTCAACCATCCTCTCACGAACACACTTTTTAATTCGCTCCTATTAGTTCGACAAAAGCCACATACTTTCTGACTGACTAGTTTCTTTGACTGGCTAATGCTTGAATTTAACGAGAACTATGCATTGGAATGCCTTCAAGAATTTAATGGTGTATTTAAAGTTCTATTCGCTAACTGCATGCCTCAGAGTTGTCATGTTCTTCGATGTTTCTGTCAATTGTAGAATGCATGCTTTTCTCGCTTTATTGCTAATGTCATGTTTTGTTGTTTATTGGTTATTTGTAAGGCATCTAAGACTGCTTTTCACGTGTTTTTTTTCTTCATTGCTGCCCTTCTTTATATATACACCGTTATATAGAGGGTACTGACTATTTTGGTATCTATTTAAAAACATGTGTTTTTCACCTAGATAAATAGATTTTAATTTGTTTTAACATAGAACTGTTTAACATTTTCGAATAATCTCAACTGCCACCTACTAAATTTCGAGTGTATTTTTAATCGTCTTCCTTATCAATGTAATATGCATGCAATAATAATGCCCCTCGCCCACTAACAGGTTGTTGGGAATGGCTGCATTTAGTGGTACCTCATTAATTAACCAGCAGTTGTGCCTAACTATACCAAGCTAAGCTGATGAATAGTCTCGTTGTCAGTTCACTAGTTATATTCAAATCCAAATCAAATACATTTTTACTCTTTTCCTAGTTCAATTCACCTTCTAAAGAAAAAAGCATGAAGTTGAAATTCCTGTGTTTGATAATCTCATCCAATTAATCAGTGACTAGTTTCATCTCACTTAAACTTGACCTTTGAATTATATAGCATGTGATGTAACATGAATATCTCTTTACCGCCATCGCCCATAACGCGCAGGTTCCCCCGCCGGAGCGCCGTACACCGAACCCACCCTGGGTATTGGCATCGTCGTGGGCATCGTGATCATCGGGGCGCTGGTGCTGCTCATTATCCTGGACCTCGTATGTTTCTTCTGCCGCGATGCCGGCGTCACCGCCTCGCTAGTCAAGGCCGTCGCCAGCAAGGAGAAGGACAAAGAAGCTATGATAGACAATGTCAAAAATAACAGGTAAGCTGTTATTCAAGTAAGAAATTAAGCTGGCTAGCTCTAAGAACAACGCTTGAGGTTCATTTCAAGTATACACTTCTGAAGTGAAGTATAGTCCATAGAGAATTCCTTATAGATGTCTAGGAATTCTGAGCGCGGGTTTTACATTGAAACATTGAGCTTGGTATAATACAAGGCAAAAAAATTTGAAAATTTTCACCTCATTCATGCGAGAGGATTTAGATTCATTACGTTTTATCTATTAGTCTGATGTGTGCTTCAAGTAATATAACTTAGTACATTTAGTTTCTTTATAAAATTGAATATTTTTGTTGTCATGCACTAGCACGCTTTAGCTTCTACGTCTGTCTGCGTAAATATTTTATTGAGGATAAATTATTGACTTGCGATCTGTTAATTTGCCCCTGTGAATAAAGAGACATTTGTTTCGGAATAATTCGACTTGAGTCTATAATTACCGGGACTTCAGTTGGTTAATCCTTAAGGGGAAAATGCTGCTGAGGCTAATTAATCAATGCTGCTAGCGCTAATTCACTTTTATTTCAATTGCATATCTATGGAACTATTTTTTATCGTTCAATCAATTCTCTGCCCTGACCTCTTTTGCTCCGCCGTACGTGCCAACCACGCTATTAAAACTTCCTGTTCACCTTCACTGACGTTCTTGAAACTAAGAGCGTTTGAACGTATCGTATAACTTTTTGTCGTTATTTCAAATTTTGTTTTGCAACGGTCCTGAGATGGCTGGATGTTTGTATCTGGAGTTACTACTGCGTTTCAATCATTCTGAGTCGTTGGTACAAATAACAGGCGTTAAGAGGCTGCTAGCTATAGGCTCTCCCATACCGCGGTTGCCTATACTTAACCGTACCGCGGTTGCCTTACTTAACCTTCACTTCTCTGATGGACCTGAACCCGGTTACATTTTAGCGACGAGACCCTGAACCCTCAAGGCAAGCAGCGTTCAGTCGGACACATCACCCGAGACGGCAGCAACCCCCACATTATCATTATTACCAACCCACTGTAAGCCAGAGACACGTGCAAGGGTATAGCCTTCTAGTCCAGTAGCATGAACATGTGCCTGCGTACGCCATGTGTGTGCGATCATTTAAGTGTCTGTCAACTGCTCGACACGTATTGTTTATCCGACATTACGCAAGTCCTTCTGTCTTTAATTTGTCCCGAAGTAATGCATCGTGAACTTTAGCATAGGATTTATTTCAAATCAAACTGTTTACTAATGTCTGTAGCGAGTTAACTTATTTCATTTAATAAACTAATGAATGAAATTTAAATTTTAAAAAATTTTCGATTTTATTTTGTGACTTCGTTAATTTAAGTTCAGGTGACGTACACGTGTTCTCCAAACCAAAACTAGTAGCGATGAAAACGAGAGCATGAACTGCTCCTAGATTTTTATTACGTGTTTGCCTTGCATGAGTAGCGGCATGGTGCTTGGCTTGATGACGACTGTGTGCAATTGTCTTCTCTTCCGACAGTGTTTAATGATGACATCGGATTATTGAGCGCTTCGGATTATTTGCGATAAAATTCGACAGCGACGGCGCTACCGTTTGTCCACAATTATTTAATAAACATAATTGCCGAACTTTTAATATGAATGGAGATAGCTGCTTGATAGTTAACGTGATTATTCACTTCTGCGACAGCAACGGTTTCTCTAAAGGCAGCGACAGTTCTCCTCTCGACTCTCAAGAGAAAGACAAAGAACCGTCGGAGACCACGCCGATGATCCATGGGTAAAACTGCACCCGCTGCACTCTAATGTGATCGTCCGTGTGGTGCACCCCGCAATTGTCATATTTAAAGTTTGGGGCTAACATCCGTTTTTGGCTGTTATGTGTAATTGTGTGTGTCCTCTTAATTGCGTTGCATCCATCCAAAAGCTCAATGGAGTTGTATGTAAATTTAACCACTTAAGAGGCCCTGACTTTGTTCCTTGTATAGCTCACATACTTCTGTCAATTGTCCTCGCTCTAAGATCAATATCTAATTCAGTCAAATGCAACTGATTGATCAGACGATCTGTCGACATGAATTGAGTATGTGGACTTTATTTTGAACAAATGCCTGACTCGTCGAAATGCTTGAATTGTTTCCCCATAAACTCCCGGTTTGAATACAAATATTACTCATCTGGATCATTGTTCACTTGCTAATTACGCTTCGTGTTGTACAGTTCATCGCCCCACATAAGCACGCGTGTTTCATTGTCATCATTATCCTCACTAAATTTCTCCTCACCGCGTGTACTTGATCTCTCATTGCTGCAAGCATGTGATCGTCGTCAATTCAAAGCCTGTTCCTTCTTTCGATCCGCACGCACGCTTACATGCACCTTCTACTTTGCTTATTCTATTGTATTCGTGTGATGTTAGCACCTTCTTGTAATCGTTATATATTAACCAATTTCGCCTAATTTTCTGTAATAATTATTTGCTTTGTTTGCATTTGGCTCATAAATTTCAACTAACTGAGGTAAAGCGAATGCCTCTCCGCAGCTTCTATTGCACTCTTCCCATCAACTGCTCAGTATTGTCTATTGTCCGATGTGCAATTTGGGTTTTCATGTTTTTACCTTTGTATTTTAATTCAAAATTGAGCTTCACGAAATCGCCGGAATTTTTCCCTTAATTCATCTATCGATTTAACACTTCTAGTTCCATCTAACCAGTGGGGTTAAACTCACATGGACCGGCCAACCGCCTACGAATTATAAGTTTAATCTTCCCAACCCATTTCATATATTCCATCGTGAACAATAAGTGATCTAATATAATTTCCCAAAATTAAAGAAAGAGACAAAATGGATTTTCAAAGATCGCATTCATATTGAATGTCTACTACTCCTCCCAACGGCAAACTAAAACGTTCACACCTGTAAGAATATAAAATTTTATTATTCCGGAAGTTGATTATCCAGGGGACTTCTGAAATTTTCGCAGGCATCAAATAACCTCAAGATTGATCATTTGCTCCGTAGTTGAAGACCTTGGTTTTATATTGTTTTTCAGTGAAAGTAGCCGCCGGATAATTTAAATCGGCGTTACTGAAGAAAACGTGCGACTGTTGCCGAGTTCAAAAATCGATCATTCCTTACTCCTTAGATTTCGATTCCCCTTTTACTTTCTCATTGTGTGACCAATAATTCCGTGATTTGTCGTTAATTCGTGGGTAGCACCTAAATTTTGAATACTGAAATCGAATGAGCTGAAATTTTTGAAATTATGGCTTAAAAGACGATTGAGATCTTAATTTATTTATTTAATAAATAACCTTACTGAATTTGATGCACATACATTTGTAAAATCATACGTTTTCTTTTTCTTGTAACGCTTGCTAGTCTCATCAGCTTCGCTGTTTGTAACATTTTTTTCTTTGCACTCATTGTCCACTAACTTGCACGCTTTTTGGGTTACCAACTCGGTTTCAACAGACGAATTGAGACTCTGCCAGAAGTGATCACAATCAACAACAATCAACACAAGCGCTCCGCGGACGCCAGACCCGGACTATCAATATCATTACAGCGTTTGAACGACGTTCGCGGAACGTGGAGTAAAAATCGCAATAATTTCCCTAACGAGTTTGTTTATCAAAATTGCAAAAAGTCCCCCGATTATCAACAGAACTTATCGCCTGTCACTCCTACCAAAGAAATGCTCGCCTGGAACCGCGAAGCGAGACCCATTAGCATGACAGCAATGCGAACCAGCCAAAGCACTGAGTTTTTTAAGAGTTTGAACGATATCACCGAAGATGGAGATCACCCGCATCAATGTGGCAACTCTATGGGTCTTCAAAACCGTCGTGTTCAGTCGCAAGGAAACTTGTTAGATGATCAAAGCAACGTTGAGAGGAAATCTATTTTGAGTCGACCGACGGGTCCCCCGCCTCGAGTACCTCAAGCTCCCAAAAAAGCACCTCCGCCGCTGCCTTCGAGAAGCTCTAAAACTCAACTGTCAACCAAAAACTTGGCAGCTGTCTCTTATGAAAAGGGCTTAGATTATTCAAGTGACTTTAAATCGAATTTTCTACCCGAAGGTCATACTCGCTCAAACCGCTCGAATGCGCACATTTACGTAGCCGTTCCCCCTAATGACGTACGGAACAGATTTTACAACACGACCAGCAGTCATCTAGTCGCTGCTGGCAATTATCCCAACGGATACACATCCGATGCTTCGAGCTCGTCTATGTATGCTGGCAGTGGGATCATTCCGCAGCCTCCTCGAGTAGCTCACCAGATTGCACCATATCAAAAATTTCAAGACGCCGCCAACTCGCATAAGATTCTTGAGGAAGTTCGATCGACTGACTCTGATATGTACCAGATAGTAGATTTTGCTCCCAACCTCTTGGTAGAAGCCGCTAAATTAGACTCTCAGAGTCCTCAGCGTAGTTCTTTCAAACCTACAAATCTGAACGACTTCCCGACCCAGCATTTTGTTCCAGCTCCATCGTCACATCTAAGTAGTTACAAACCCACAACAAAAAGTATGTACGATTTGAATAGGTTGAATTACACCGTTGCGATGCCACAACCGCCGAATTCGCTGCCCATGGAAGTTCCTCGATTGGGAACACGCCCTGCAAATCGTCATATTAGCCCAGCATTTTCAATGCTTGAGCTCAACCTGAACAGAATTCCAAAAGGTTATGGACAAGGTTCTTCTCAGAAACCGTCTGCACTCTGATAACATTACGACTACGGTCTTCATTCTGGTATGGAATTGTAACTTGCTTATATTAATGTTAGCATGTCTAAAGCACCGTGCAGTTTTTCTCTAACAAGGTTTCCTTAAGTTTAACGCACCCTATTTTCAGCTTAGATCCTAAGTAGTTTTTTAGAACTCTATATCTTGATCTCTATGTTTAGCTTAATGCTTCTATCTTGCTTCATTTAATAGTTTCAATTAGCTCTGAATTCACTTGCTTAAAAATTTGGTTTTAGATCACTCTTCATCGACTCATTTTAATGAAAATAACTGTTCTTTATCAAGAGGACTTTCAACCTCAATTCAAAAGAAGATTGAATTTGTGAGCTCTATGGCCCTTCTCATTATGATGCGTCAAATCATTCAAATTATTTTTTCGCAGTGATACTGGAGACAAGGCGGCTATTCTGAAAGAAGAGGAAGAAGCTAAGATGCAAGGCCAAGATGGACCTCAGGTCGTTGTCGTTACCAAAGATTCTCCAGTTTAGAATCGAGTCCAAGACGATCTCGACCAATTTCTGACCACAACATAGTTCGTCGTTAGTGACGAATTTCAGTATGGAAATCGAGCTGAAAATTTTGGAGGAGCTTTTTCGTATAATAATGGACTAAGAAGCTATAAAATCTGAAATAGGCTGGTATCTAATCTAATTCTAAAAAAAACAAAGGGGAGTAATGATGGTAAGGCTTCACTTTAGCCGACTGTTTGGAAGGATGAATAAGTTATTTATTTAAATCTTCCTATATTTCAGTCATTATAAAAATATCCGTATGACACTATCAGCATTTTCATTGTTGTACGACTTCCACCGAATTGTATGTCTATGAAGCAAACCAAACTGAGCTGTGGACACTAGTTGTCTGCCGGGCTGAAAAAATTCACGAACAAATGCAAATGAAACGTGTAATGCTGACAGGTTGAAATTTTCTGTGCATACTTATTGTATGAGTTAGGCAAAAGCACCTATTTCAAATATTAGTTCTTGTAATCTCGATTAAGTGATTATAAGAACTAAGTTAAGTAAGTATAAGAAAGTAACTTGTAGGGACTTGATTCCACGATGCTTAGTTTAATTTTTTATTATGATATGAATTCGTTTACAACACAATATGTGTTGTTGAAAGTGAGCGTTTTGATTTATTCATAAGACTAAGGTTCTACACTTGTGTATTGTATTATACCCCGTCTTTTGTTCCGCGACCACGTACGTAAGGTTTAAGTTGTGCATCAAGTGCCATTATCTTAAGCAAGTCCTTTATTGGACAACAACTATTTGTTAAGGTGAAGATTTTGTAAATTCTTACTGTATAATTCGGAAAAGTGCTCAGACTTCGGCCCTATCATTCGTATTATGACCAAATTTCTTGATGTTTTGAAAGATAAACTTTGATAAGGTCGTAGTCTGGTGTTAACTCTCCTTTCTAGCTCTAGCCCTCAGTGTTGTATGTATCTATTCTTATTATTAGCTACTATAATAATTGCTCGGAACTTAGGTATTGTAGGTCCTACGCAATGTGTGACGGACTTGAATTTTTCTTCCACTCTACTGCAACTGATAGACTCTTTACGTTGGGCTGTTTTCTCCGATTTCGAAATCTCTCAGCCTATTAGGCTTGTAATGTAAAGTTTTTAATTCCGCAATCACTTTATATCAAAACATATTTTAAATGATTTCACCGCACAGACAGATGTACAATTACCACGTTTTTTTCTCCGTCAATTAAGAATTGGAATTGAAGTCTATTTAATTTTATGGCTATTGAGACAGTCATGCCTTGAGCTAATGTACCTGCCTTTTGTTTAAATTTCTACCTAAAAATTAGCGTCGAATGCGATTTACATGTGAAAATCTCCAATGTGCTCACAACGGCAGTTCCAACAGTCCAACAGTGTTGCATTGCATCAGTGCAGAAGAGATAATCATGCGGTAATTGCTCGGAAGGCGGAAATTATTTAAACTAGTGAAAAATTCACCTTTTTTGAGCAAATTGCAGTTGGATTTTATCCAGACCTGTATAAATTTCATGCCTTTACAAATTTTGTAGCTAGTTTCTGTATGTGTGAGACCTCAGTTGGATTTCTTTTTTGATGAATCCCCTTCTCGGGATATGTATCGGCTGTACTTCGTAGAAGTTATTAGCTATTCATCTTTTATTGTGTCTTTTTACCTTCGGAGTATTTTAAGCGCATTTTCTCATTTATGGAAAAAAATGCACTATTGTGCTCGCCATGTCCGTCTGTCCGTCCGTCTGTCTGTCCGTCCGTGACTTCACGTTTTCGTCGACGAGAACGTCCGTGACTTCACGGTTTCGTCTGTCACTCACTGCCGTGGGTACTGAGTTATACTTTTTTTTACTATGCTCCGTACTAAGCTCTGTGAAACAATCCTGGAGCTAATGAGACATAAATTTTTTTAAATAGCTTCATAATATCCATGACATGATTAATTTGCGGCTTGAGAGTTTTAAAGGCAAGAGGAAGTTCTAAAATTCAGTTGTACCCAAGTTGGCAGCTGTATTTTGAAAAGGTCTCCCATTATTCAAGCGACGTCACACCGAGTTTTCCACTTGAAATCGATACTCGCTCTAGGTAAGAAACCCACTGATTATTGGGCCTTGCAACAGCATTAGTAGTTTAGGAGTCGTCGCCAGGGCATCAACGGTTCAAAATTCGTCATAACAGAATCAAAGGTCTGGGAATTGTCGAAACACCTTCAACGGTTTCTTCACGAATCGTCACAACATCTTCAAGGTTTAGGAGTCGCAATAGCATCAACTGTCATTGAGGCGGTATATGCTGCTGCTAACATGCCATGTTTTCAAAAAATCTTCGTCTATATATCGTATTCAACCATATCTTGGAAGTTCATGCGTTATATGTTCGGATTCAATGGAATTTCTACTTCTAGTGTCAATAAATGGAAAGATCTTCATTTCACAACATAATATCTTGGAATACTTGAAGTAATCTGTAATCGAATACGGATTTATTCTACTTCAGCACTATGCAAAATTTACTTTCAGCTGGAGAGTTAGCACTTTAGAACATTCCAATGCTATTGAAAATGTGTCAATCACCCGCAACAAAGGCTCCTGTCTAATCTTATGTATAGTTGTCAATAATGTGTTTGAAGCCATGCTCCAGCACTACAAAAAACGAGATAAGCTATTACGCTGAAGTTCACTGTACGACGAGTCCCGTGTAATACTTGCATAACATTTTAGAACATGCTAGCACCCGTTAATAACATTTTATCCATGTGCTGTTCGAGGATGTGGTTTAGTCTTCTGAAGTCGTAAGCAATATTCCATGGAATATTGTCAATCCTTAATCAAAACCTATTTGATGATGGCCTATACTTTCAAAAAAAGTTAAGTGATCGTAAGTTCATCCGCCAATCATTGACGGTCTTTCAAGCAAAATTCACCAATCATAGACAAGAAAATAGAGCGTAAGTACTTACGTTCACTAAGCGAGTTTTGAAAGTATGGCCGCGCCGGTCAGCATCAGGCTGCAGGTGCTGCCGCGCTAGGGCGTTAACGTTACGAAAATAGACATTAACATAACTAGCTATGTAGCAGTATGAAATCGCTGGTTAATAGTTCAGATTTTCAGGAAAAAAGTCAGACCTTACCGCTCTCTGTGTCAAGTTAAATCTAGTTCATATCGAAAAATATGAATCTCCACCAGACTAAAGTAAGACTAGCATAAATATCGGCTCATAACATAACATAATGATGTCGGCGCTGAAATGTAGGCCTGATGTGGCCTGTCGCCGATTCTTTTCCTTTTCGTGCCTTGTTCATAGATCTAAACTCGTATCATTTGATCGGATCTTTTCATGACTGGCGATAGTTTGAAGTAGCTACTAGACTTCCACTGGGTTCGATAAGGAGCTAGGCATTTCAAATCTGAACATATATTTTTCCATAGCTTTATCTAGTCTGTTCTTGAACGCGTTCATACTTGGAGCTCCAACGATGTCATCGGGGAGGCTGTTACGACTATTTTAGAAACTAAGACAAATGACAAGGTAAAAATCACAATGCGGATATCGGTAAATCGTCAATGCGGCAAAGCAACGCCTACTTAAAAGAAAGAAGAGCGCACAGATACGCTCACCTTGAAAACTCGGCAAATGACGAAGCTAGATAGGCCTCATCAATTTAGCGAGAAATCCTAATTTTTCTAGTAAGCTCTCCTTCACATACATCGTAAAAACAAACACGGGAGCTCAATAAACATCCATTATTGACGAGCAGCAAGTATGCACTATGCACTGATCACATTTCCTGTGAGGAGTTGGTTTTAAAAGATTGAAGCCCAGAATGAGGTTGTTTGAAGCGCGCGTCAATCTTTTGACGCCAGCTTTTGATACAGCCGCTTTATCGTTCACTGGCCTTACCAGTAGAGCTCGAATCAATCGCACTTGACCCTTCGAGACGCCTTGCAAATTAATTTTCCATATAACATTCCTTCGACTCCAAAATTGGCCGCGTAGGAGAGTGAGCCAGGTGCCGAGATCAAATCGACATTACTTCGATCTCACCGGCGCACTCGATAGCTCACAAAAAGCGCACGTTTTACGCAAGTTCGTCAGTTCTAAGCCGATCTGGATGAAATTTGGAAATGATCTCATTGGTATAAATAGGCCGTTGCTAGCTTAGCCAGAGTTGTTTTATTCGGCTTTGTTTTAGATCCAAACCATACATTTTTAAAATTTAAATTAATATAGATTTGGTTGGGGTAGACTTTTTTAGATTAGGTTATTATATTATGGCACAGCGATTGAGTTATACGTAAATCTGAAGTCAGCATCGTCAGTGATAGCGCCAGACGCTCCTCCACGACAGAAGCACGCCAAATTACTTTGCAACTATATATAATTACCGGCAGCGGCAGTGACTGCAGCGAGCCATAACGATCCGATTTGATCCAGGCAATATTTCATATTGCCTCCCACGAGTCGTCAATAGCTCCTGAGACACATTAAGGCGAAGTTGCACTTACACGCATTAGAGAATTCTGACATGCCGAAGCAATGAAATAAAAAGAAATAAATAATCCATTCAGCAACAACATGAATGCCAACATTTGATGAGGGGGTAATACAAATTCACTTTGAAATATTTTAAATGTTTTAATCAATGTAACTAAGTATCCAGCAAATTCAAGAATAAAACCTGAAGCTTGGGGGTAACACGGGCTCGAATCAGGAATCTTCATGTTTTCATCTTTTCACACCTACCTACATAATTACATTCCTATTGCATACCAATCACAAATTTCTTGAAGGCGAAACCCCGTCGCTACTTACACGGCCGCCGAGACACTTGGGTCTTGGGGAGCTTTGATCCACTTGTCTTTAAAAACCTAATGTAAAACCTAATTAACAATGACGCCCTTGTCTGATGTTGAACCACTCTGTCAACATAACGTCAACTTTACAGAAAATGAACGTTAATTTATTCAAATAAGACATCATAAAAAGGGCCACATTTCGTAACTCACGCTAAGACTTTGGTTCACTGTTTCGAATGTTATGAATTTCTCAAGATGTGAGTAAATTTTAATTGGTTAATTGTCAAGCTCACTAGACTTTATACACATTTCCAGCAAGGATACGAAGATTGGACTTTTGTTATTCAGACAGATTACTCAAATATCACCATTCACAATTTTTTTCAATCCAATCGAATTGCTATTTACGTACTTGCAAAGACGTACGTACATTTAGACCAAATTCCCGTCTGAAAATTGCTGCCATGCCATTCCATCCAGATATACAGCATACTCTTCCAACCAATGATCTACTTCCAGCACAATGATCTACAGCATACTCTTCCAACCAATGATCTTTCAACCAATGATCTACTTAAGAGTTTTACCTCTAATTTATTTGTTTTTAATGCATGTCTTAAATGAATCATCAAATTAACGTTTTAATAATTTTATTGCAGCGCCATTCGGCCCATTCCTACATGCATGCTAAATTACATGGTCAATATGCAAGCTCGAAAGAAAATTCGAATCCAAATACTCTAAAAAAAATAATTGCAGATTCTAAATTTTACCTCTCGGACACATTTGCGACCGGCCTTCCGGCCTATTCGCATGCATTCAGGACGACCTAATGGTGACTATTTTTTCACATTCGTTTCAGTCTTATACGGGCCGAAATTTGCAGTGAACATTACTTAGTTATTGAACTAATGAGCAGATTTGAGCGAAATTTTGTATACAAATTCCTAATCACTTAACGGTTATGTTTCACTCATACAAAATTTTCAATTAAGTCTTGATTTACGAGTTATACGGCTATACGTAGAAGCTACTGTCTTCTACGGCCGAGTGTCAAATTTGTAGTGAACGTGAAATATTTCCCGAAATTGAAAATAAAAAAATTCAAATGAGTTTTACAGAAATTCTCTCTAATCTAAAACCTGTGTTGAGCTTATAATTTTTGTGTTGAAATATATGTTTAATCCATTATGACCCGGAAAAAGTAACTGATACAAATGCCTGGCGCACGTACTGTTAATGCAGATAAAGAAAAAGTGTATTTACTATACCTAAACGTCTACACACAGCACACTACACAGATTATAATCCCACTTCCCGCTTCCGTAGGTCCTAGGATTCTTAGACTTGGTTTTGTCAACGAAAATGGTAGGCGATGAAATATTGTAGGTAGTAGTTCCAGACTTCCAGTACTGAATTTTTTCTATAGACTATAGTGTCTGCGAGTGGATGAGTCACGTTCAAGTTACAATGAAAAATATTTTCTACTATGTAGGCCTAGGTAGGGTATGTGCACAAGAATTTTTTTTCCCTTTATCGTAATGAAAATTACACCACTGAAAAGAGAAAAAAAATTAGAAAAATATATAAGTACGAGTGAAGTAGGAGGTCGAAAAATGAAAAAGATACTATGAATTTTTTCCTATTTTCAATTTCACCCCAAAAATGGACCAACTTCTGTCACTTTTTTTGGAAAAACTATCATTTGTAGGTTGCATATGAGCCAATTTCAAAGTTTTTAGTACCATTGGAAAGCTCATGTTACATGTTGTAGGCTATCTATTCTAGGAATAAAACATTTTGGTTGAGACTTTGACTGCAGGCCACTATGCAGATTGCAGAGTCTGCAAGCAACGTCGCCAAGATACGAGTTTCCAGGTAACAACGTTGCCGGCATTACTCGATAGTTCTCGCCGTCGCCGCCAAAAGTCTTCAGGATACGTCGCCGAGTAATTTTTCAACAATGAAGCTGCTAAAAGTTCAAAGAATATATCCTCCACTCCCCAGGAACTACAGCAGTCAATATGGCTTCCGCATTGCAACCGATTCCACCATTTGCAGATTGTGCTGCAGCTGTACAGTCTCATCCGACAAACCGGAAAATCAAAAGTTATCAATAAGTAAGATTTTCAAATTGTTTCAACAACATCCAGGTCTCATAGTGTGGCACAAGAGTCGTTGTAAAATTTATCTCAAGGTCATCTGGTCGTTGAACAACCGCATGCCAGTCGACAGTCGATAGGATTTATGCAGTCGATAGGTTTCTTCAGTAGTTCGATAACTTAACAATGAAAACACTAGTGACTAGTCGTTAATAATGAGATAACCTTAAGTCTATGTACATTATATTCTTTATATACAACAAACACCTAACAGATAATGCATTAATGTTTAATTTTTCAAACCAGCAGTGCCTTCTTAGGTTTCTTAAGCAGCAAGCAAGTTGCTTCCCCTTTAACAGTCAACAAAGTACTAACCGATCACTTGGAGCTGTACGCTACATTGGTCAGCTGGATGCCACATCCTGCAGGCTGAGCTGAGGCAGCTCATTGGCATTTCTTTCTTTCGTTTTTCTTCCGTTCTGCTTGTGCGGAAAACGTCGCCTCACAGAAAGCATCGTTGGCAGCATCGCCGAAGCTTCTGGAAGGTTGGCTGACTCGCCGAAGCTTCGGTAAGATTGGTAAATGGCGTCGGCAAGATCTTCGAAGAAGTAAATTTGTCTGCTAATTCGTCTCCGAATATCTTTCAAATCTTTATCACTCTCTGCATAGTGGACTGCAGGTGGGTGGGGACGTGGGTGGGGGTCTTGTCTTGCACTGAGTTGCATCTCATCTCACATCTCGTCTCATGCCTCGTATCATGTCCAATCTCACGTTTTGTCTCATCAATCACTCTCATATCTCATCTCCTCGTCTCATGTCTTGTCTTGCGTCTCATCTCACATCTCGTCTCGCGTCTCATCTCACATCTTGATGATCTCGTCTCGCATCTCACATCTCATCTCATGTCTTGTCTTGTAGCTTGTCTCATGCATCATCTCATGTCCCCTCATGTCTTGTCTCATGTCTCATCTCATGTCTCAGTCTCGGCAGTAGTTCAGGACCAGCGTACGGTACCTCACTGGCTCATGACTGAACTGAACGTAAACTGCGCAACAGGACATGGTAGAAAAACTATCAGAAACTCAGAATGGCTGCTGAGCTCTGAAATTTTGAGAGCATGCTCTGAAAACTATAATCTTGATTTCAAATTGTCTTTCATTAATTTCAAAATACAATATCAATGTTTATTTCTATCACAAATGTTACCCCTTGCACACCCCAGCTAAGAGCCTAAGCAGGTACTTGATAGACATTTTTCGAAAAAAAAAAAAATGGTGTCATCAAAGTTCAAGTTTTTTTAGTTCGTTTCCAAAATCCAAACACAAGTCAATCAAATTAAGCAAACATTTGGGTGGAACTTTCAAAATTAAATACCTTACGCGCGCCGATGCAAAAAGTGGCTGTCCGCCATTTTGCCCGCATTGTTTACATTTGTGCGTACCGCCGTACTTTGTGCACATACCTATACTATGGCTTTAAGTTATTGCATTTACTATTTATTCTAATTTCTAAAATTGCCTAGAATGAAGGCTCAGTGAACTCAGTGAAGTGCTCAAGGCTTAGATTCATAATAAGACCTTAAGAAGGCTTTTAAAACATGATGCAGATGTGCACCAAAATTTACCAACCAAGGTTTCAGATTGACAGATTGGTTATGCTGATTGCTGAGAATCCCACAAAATTGGATATTGTCCTATTAGAGACTTGAATTGGAATCCTTGCTGAAATTTAGAAAAATCAATCTTCAAAATCATATTGCTCATTTACTATAAACTACAATATTAACTTTTTAAATAGTGCTTACTGCTTAAATTGACTAATGACTATCATTTCAGAATATTTATATATGGCTTGAAAAATACAATTTAGTATTGTATTGTATTTTCATTCATTGTATACATCAGTAAGTATTCAGTAACCAGCATCCAACAGCATTACAGCAGTAAAAAATTTCAAAATGAGGTAAGTCAGGAAAGCTAGGGCCTAGGCTATCTGCTATTAGGCTGTAAAAGTTTCGTAACTTTTAAATCTTTGTCCATTATTAGCCTAGTTAGGCTAGTATGATTACCATATTCATTGCCAATCAGGCTACAGAATTTTTCAAAATTTGCATGTAGACATAATCTTTTTTGCAATTCTTCAAAAGATATAAGATAATAAAGTGAAAAATGTTGTTTTTCAGAGTCTGTAAGTCTGTGAAATTTTCATGGTTAAGTAGGGTAAATGCAGTATATTCTGACACATTAAGGACGTAGGGTAAATGCGGTATATTCCGACACTTTGAGGACGTAGCTAAAAATGAATGGCTATAAAAAAATCACCGTATGCGCAACTCAAGTTCTGTTTGCTTTATGTCACTCTCGAACACCGCACTATGCGCCAGCAACAATAAAACATTACAAAATGTTGCCATATTTATTTAAAAGCCTTTAGAATGCAAACCTACCAAATCTATATATTCCGACATAGTGCAACACTGTGACCTGTGTGTGACTAAATTTGGCATTTTGTGAGACTAATTCCGGCCGCGCTTCAAACTCTACTAATTCGTAATTCTGACACTTGTGTTCAAATTCCGATCGCTGTGTGAGCTGCATTGGAATATGACACAGCTTGGAAATTGGAATTAGAACACTATTGAATGTTGAACACTACTTATTTAAGCTTTTAATCAAGAGCTATTAAGCTTTTAATAAGTAAAATTTTAATTTTTGCACACAGCTTGGAATGAGCTGTGTGTGTCTAATTCCAAGCTGTGTTGGAATTAGTTTTTATATGTCTATAACCGTCTCTTAACTAGATCATCCATTAATTTATTTATGACTTGAAATCAACAAATACAAGTATACTTAAATAATATATATATACACCTAATATATTCACAGACTTATTTAAAAGTCTCAAACCATAATATTCTTTCTACACAACACAAACAGTTTATCACTATTTGGTAGAGCAAGGTCAACTATCAACTTTGACACGTTTTTTGATGTTCTCACTGGCTGACGTGCACTGTCTCTCTTTGGATCTTGACATTTTCCCGCCAGACGGCCCAGACCTAGTGTTTTGGTAATAGTATGGCGCACAATAGTATGATGTCACTATTTCAACCATCAACGAATGCATGGAACTAAGGCAAAGCTTAATATAAAGGAAAAAGTTGAGAAGTGTCGGAATTACCCACGATGTCCGAATATACCGCGTTTACCCTAGCCTCTACAGTTTTACAACACAACACTTCTGAATTCTCTTTAACTTCACTTTGTGAGTTTGTGTTGCTTATTTGTTTGTCTGTCTGCTAGAAAGCTTGTAATCATTATTTAAAACACTTCTAAAGTTCTACCTGACCAGCCATGGAATTTATCTAGGCCTACTTGACGAGCTGCAATTAAATTTTTTGAGCCGTTCTTTTATAGATGCACCAGCCATCATTCCATTTCTTTGAGCTGTGAATTCCATATCTTGGCAGTAAAAAGCCATTTACAAGGCAAGTTAATGCAGTCTGACGTGACTGCAACTACAGCAATCCCTTGATTAGCACGGTTTTGTTCTTTAAATAAGGTCCCGTTCAGTAGGCACTCATGCTGACTACAGAGTCGGTTTAACCGCGCCTTGTCTCGTTCATAACTCGAATGATTGAGTTCGGCAACGTTCGCCGGTAAGTGCGCCATGCCGGTGCTCTAGCCCTTTAAGCCCTGGTGTGACGAATTCGTCACACAGAAAATAAAAGCTTCTACCGAGAGTAATTACATGTATTCCCATATATTTTTAAGTTTGATTAGCGCGGTTTTGCTTAACACGGTAAAACTCGGGGATTTATTAACCGCGTTAATCAAGGGATTGCTGTATGTGCAATCAACAAAACATTTAGATTGACTTGTTTACATTAGAATGACAACATTCTGCAAGATATTTTACCGAGAACGTTAAAGTAATGCAGATTGCAGAAGTGGAAAATTTTATGAAATGACATATTTGCAAAGTGCCAACCACAATTTTTTCAATCAATCTGAAATTTTACACACTAGTGTAAAGTTGGAGACCATGCTTGAATCAATTGACAGAATAAATAATTTAAGATTTGGAAAAAATTAATATTGAAAAAATTAAAAAATAATTCATATTGAACATTTGAAAATAAAACAGGAAATTTATTGTACGTTAGGAGCATTGGAGACACTGGCCTCCTTAGAAGTGTTGTCTTCAAAAATTAATTTTTAAACTCATATTTTATTCATATAATTGAAGATTTATGATCCAATGTTTTTCCCTTGTTACTGCATACACATTGTGAACAGAAGACAAACTTCCATTTTACCACTTAAGCTATCAGCTTTCCCCATTGCATGCAATTCATTTCCAACCTAAAAGACTTCCACAAGTTCCACTTCATTGGTAATAGCCAGGGTTGGCGATTTTTTCTGATTTAAAAAAAAAATCAAAAAAATAAAAAATCAATGATTTTTTTGATTTTTTCATGATTTTTTTGATTTATTTGATTTTTTTGATTTTTTCACCTTTTTTGTCTTTTTGAAGTGTTATTTTTTATGTTGAAATTAGCCTACTGACAATAACAGTATGTGGATCATAATGGATGGCTAAAAATGGCACTTATTGCCTTCAATAATGGCCAACAGGCCAAGGTTTTGTTTACCACTTAGGGATTTTTGGGTAAACAATTATTGATAAGTCTATTCATTAGCTTTGTAAAGTTTGTATGGAGCAAGGTAACGAACTATATATTGACCATTTAACTGGCTTCAATATACAAAAACATTTCAGGAAAGCAGATCTTCTAAACATTGAAGAGTCACATAACAGATAAGTAGCTGATAGCACAGTGCACAGCACTATCAATAGATCTACTAGTTATATGTCCTATAAATCTACCAGACTCTACCTTCTATACACACTGACTAGTAGTGAATGAGTGACTGACTGCACTGTTCCCATTTAATTCAGACCAATAAACCAAAACTAAACATAAACTGGACAATAACCAAACAAACCGCATATGACTTGAAACGAGATTTAAGTTATGAGAAAAGCTAACACTGTTTGAGATAAACATGTGCACAATTCAAATATTTTATATCCATTCACTGCATTTAATTATTTTATATATAGTCTTGTAATTGTAATTGTTTTGTTTCTAGTTTTAATTAGAATAATCGTATTAGGGTGGAAAATCTTTCCAATTGCCAAAAAGGTCAATATACAATCTCAACCTCTCAATATACAGGGTGGAGCAGAACTGACTGAGCAGTTTTGAGGTAAAATAAAAGAGCAATGGAGGGCCATAAAGAAGAAAGTTTATTTTCCTAGAGGTTAGCATAACATACCATTTAGAATACTTATGTTTTGAAAACAATATCTGGAAGATGGGGGCTGTTAGCTGCAACACACTGTTGGAGTCGTTCTCAGAGGAGGGAGTAACCATGACAGTGAATTCCAATTGCTATGCTGCAATGTTGCCAAATTTCTTGCAGCCCATGATGGAAAACATTGTTGAAAATGAAGCATTGGGAGACGTGTGGTTCCAGCAGGATGGGGCTACAGCTCACACAGCCCGAAGGTCACTCAATGTTTTGAAATGTATGTTCCCAGACTCTGAGGGGTGATTTACAGTGGCCTGCAAGGTCACCTGATTTGAGCATTTGCGATTTCTTTCTTTGGGACATCTAAAAGAAAGGGTGTTCAGAAGTCGCCCTCACACCCTACCACAGCTAAGGGGACAGATTATTGCAGCAGAGGTTGTGGCCATACCTCGCCATATGTGTGAACGTGCTGTAGGAAACTTCCGAGAACGACTCCAACAGTGTGATGCAGCTAACAAACCCCATTTTCCTGATTTTTTTTTTCAAAACATAAGTATTTTGAATGGTATGTTATGCTAATCATGATTAAAATAAACTTTCTTCTTTATGTACCTCCATTACTCTTTTATTTTGAATCAAAACTGTTCAATCATTTCTGCCGCACCCTGTATAAGCTAGCTAACACATTTAAATTGTATATTGTAATCAATATACCGGTATAACAAATAGTCAACTAGTTAGACTACTTATAGCCATATAAGAATTAGCTAAGCTGCTAGCTACATACAATGTATTGCGACACTAGATGCCTCTGTACCAAAAACATTCCATTTATTGGAACCTTATACACACTAAAGGCAACAAGTTTATATACCTACCAATTTGTCATTCATAGTACATTTATACTAAACCATGAATAACAATACCGGGTACCTCAATATAAATTAAAGACTGCCACTCAATATTTTTAAATATATAAAAAAATCAAAAAAATCATGATTTTTTTATAAAAAAATCAAGTGATTTAATCACATGATTTAATCATTTTGATTTAATCATTGCCAACCCTGGTAATAGCCTTCCAACACCTAACTGTACTTATTATAGTACAGCAAATAATTTTCATCAAAATACTGTCTTCTACGGTCAACTCCAAATCTCACCTTAAAACACATGATGATTGCTGCATTACATTTCTGAAATGTCCTAGTTTGCACACTATTATTGTAATACGTACCGGTAGTGTGACAGTGACACAACCACTTTTATTCTTGCACAGATATAAAATTTAACACTGTGAAAAAATTGCAATAATTACCTTACTAAATTAACGCTTACTAAATTAACCTTCATATTTCATGCAATGAGTGATGTTTAACCTGTTAATTTTGTGTTTGTTTGCAGTGCTGATGACCTCTCAGATGTGTCAAGTGCATCAGATATTGAAGAAATTGGCGTAGTGGGCACTGTGGCCAGCCGTCATTCTTCTTCTGCCAGCAGACACAAGCATAAAAAGAAACATCACAGACACCATAGACGTCATTCACACAAGCGGAAGCATTATAGACACAAGTCATCAAGTCGTAAAGAGAAGTTAGTGTGTGTTACATATCTTCTGTTTTGATAAGGAGTTATATACTTATATTTTCTGTTTTGATAAGGAATTTTCCCAAAACTGCTTTCTTTCTAATGCCAGTGCTCTATACCACATATTATTTAGGAATTATGTTCTGTGATGGCTGCAACTCTCTATCAAATGGCAGAGAAAATTTACCAAAATGATATAATTAGTAATGTTGGTTCTGTAGAACTGGCATCATTCAAAATACATCATTTTAGTCAAATTATAGAATTGAATATGTGTGAATGAATTTTAATTCTCTCTTGTACAATGCACCTTAAAGATTAAAGAGGGTCTTTGTCAAAAAAAAAAACATAAAATTTGTCATTTTGGTTTTGAACTTATTTTGTAGCTGCAGAAAAGATGCATCAAATGCAGCAAACTGCACATATGTGCATGCTTTATTTCTTGTGTGAGGCAGTATCAAATTTATATAAAATGAAAATTTTTCATTTCACAGCATTTTTTTAGAAAAATTGTATTTATAGATTATTATTTGCATTAATCAAGCTGGTTTTGAGCTTTTCTTTTGAAGTTGTGGAAAAGTTGTGTTGAACAATGCAAGCTGGTTAGCATGTGCATTCTTTAGTTTTTCACAAGGCAGTTTCAAAATTTATTTATATTAATGAACATTTTTTATCATTATTGTACAATTCTTTTAAAAAAATAGTATTTCTTGCAGCTAGCTTATTATTTTGTTGAACTGACTGACTACAAGTCATGTGGCACATAGTAATAGTACCCTCAAAACAAGAAATAAACAATGGGAAAGCTGGTGATACGTCTTCAAGCAAATGCTTTAGCCTTTAATTATTTTTGTCATCAATTTCACTGATGTGGCTCTCCTGAGCAATTCGAAGTGCCATTCTTTGCCTCCTTTAAAATCTATCTTCTCTAATTTTCAAGCTACAACATTTGATTTGTAAAGCAAATACCTACTTAGCAACTCCAGAAGCCCTTTTTCCTGATTTGATTTTTAAAAATAGAGGGAAATGGAAAAGGTTGCGCATAAAAATTGGAAAAAGTGCTCCTAGAGCCACTCGATATATATATTCTACCTATTTGCAAATTGAATGGTATGTCTCTTGATACTGTAGTTTATAAAGTGAAAGAGGAGATAAGTATAATAAAGTCCTCCTTTTTGCCTCTTTCTATGCATTTCAAGTTTTCTTTTATTTTTAATAAACAAATCATATGACCTACAAAATGTTTTTCTTATAATATTTTACATATGTGTACCAAGTTTCAAAAAGATTTGTCTGTTAAATTAGAAGTTACTTATGAGGCGAGCCCCCTTTGACTCAATAATTACTTTGCATGCTTGTAATTTATTCACTAATAATCATCTATTTCTGAATACTAAGTTGTTTTGAAAACTAAACAGGAAGTCACACAAGCACAAGAGTCGGTCACGTCATCGCCACAGTGGCAGCAGCAGCAGTTCAACTGAGGAGTCAGATGATGAGGGAGCTGATGGCCATGCTGCGGAGAGCGTGGCTGATGGTGCCACTGCAGCACGTCACAGATCATCTGTGCCTGAGATGAACAACAAGAGTTCCACACTGAGCAAGGTGCAGCAGTCAGCTGCAGCTTTAGTAGCTGCTGCTGCTGCTGCTTTATCAGATGATGACAGTGATGATGATCTTGACTTGGTTGATGATTTGTTGGAAGGCTCGGTACAAGCTGCTGGCTCTGCAAAGACGGCTGACAGAACTCCAGTTAAGGAGTTTACTATGAAAGGAGGTTGGGGCGTAGAGGACAACTCCAACGATTCTCATGTCGTTGCACAGCATGATGGGCGAGGTGTACAGATTAGCAAGAATGGAGACCTCCATTCCCTCACCATCAACGTCATGAATGAAAAAGTTTCTAGACAGGTATTTTTCTTCTACCATTTTGAAGTAAGATGGGAATTAAATATTTCCTATACCTACTATTTACTACTTAGTTCATTTTCCCAACCTATTTGATGAGGGAATAGGTGCTTACATAAAAACAAATTCCATCAAGATCTGAATCGTAGTACTATATCACAAATCTATAATATGAGTTTAACATTATTGTCAATGCTCTGCTGCACTCTTATCATGACTATTGTCTTCCAACAGGGGTTGCCGAGTCTCAATGACTCCAGTCCAATGCTGCAGAACATTGATTCCGACTCAAATATTTCATCGGCCATGATGACTCGTTGCAGCAGCATCCCTCCACCTGAGGATATTGATCTCAACTCATCAGACATGATGCCTATTGATGACATCAACCTTGAAGACTTGATGAAACAAAAGGCAAGTTTTTTGAAAGAAAATTGTTCAACATTCAGATTTTGAGGCATAAATTTCAGTTAATCCTATTGCTTGAGAATAATGTACTTGAAATGAATTATTTTCTTTGCTGGTTTCCATGTAAACATTTTTTTATCAGCTCGGGTTCAAGTTCAGTGTTTGAGTTTTCAAGTTAATATTTAGCTGTTAGATTTTGCATTTGTTTTTAGTTTAAAGTTTTGTTACATTTTTATTTTCTAAAAATTTAAAATAATTAAGGCTATACCAAATCAGGTTTATTGATAGTATATTGATGTTTGTATCTTGATTATATCATTAGACTGTATAGACAGCTCATTTATAATGTTAAATGTATTCTAACTTATATTTGTATTGCAATGTATTGTGTGTTATTTTGTTGTAGGCTGCCCTACAAGCGGTGCTTGGTGCCTACATGTCAGAAGGTGGCGAGGACTCTGACACTTCTACCCACACACCTCCTCCTCCCCTGGCCATGGACCAGCCTCCACTGCAACATGAAGAAGAAGAAACCAACGACGCTGAACTGATGCTCGAAGCTGAGCTTGAGGCAAGCATGGACCTCCAGAAGAAACTCAAAGAGCTCAGAAACAAAGTAGAGCAAGAGAGGGTTCAAGTTTCTGCTGTACCAGAGCGAAGCGCGAGACCTGACAAAAGACAGGATAAAAAAGTGGAGAAGGAAGAACCTAAAGTTGTTACGATCTTGGACTCTGACGAAGAAGAGGAGCTTGCTAAGAAAAAGAAGAAGGAAGACAAGAGATCAAAGAAGCGAAAAAGAAGCAGGTATTTACTCTTTTCACCTAACCTGCCTTGCTTTCACAGGTTATTGCAGCGTGTATTCTGAAACTGGAGGCGATTGTGAGTACATTTGAAGTGATAAAATTTCAATTACTGATAATTTTCTTGCAGATTATTTTCATCGTTTGGTAAGAAACAAGGAATTTTCTTGCTTGCTAAGATGCATTAGTAGTTGATCATATTTCTGCAGAGTTAGTTTTTCCTACCATGATACTGACACTTGTTTAGCTGGAAGGTTCCTAGCCCCTTAAGGACGTTTGGATGAGGCCCGGACTCTGTATCAGAGAAGATCTACTCGACCAGTTGGCATTCCAGCCTCTGAGACCATCGCTGCTGCCTATGGAGTACAACTTGATGCCTTCCACGGTTCACAACTTTTCTTGGCTGTCATCAGGGTACTTAGCTCCTCGTCGGCATTCCATTGATCATTTGTATCAGCAATCATAATAAAGTCGTTGATTTCATTATATATGTGATTAGCTATTTCAATTAACAGTTGGTAGGGCATTAAGAAACCATTCTGAATAATATAAGCCTGCCTAATTAGTTCAAGCCTTAATCGTGATATAAGTGTCATATTTTTTCTTCAGACATTGAGGTTAAAGTACTATCCCGTTTGATCTCTGTGTCTCTCGTAACAGTTAATATTCCTGTTAACAGTTAGAACTCGAACTCTTTCATGTAGAGACTTGATGAAGGCAAGGTGCACCATGCATTTAGCGGCCGTTTCCGATAGTTTTGTAGTCAGTAATAATTTGTTAATGACTTGAAATCCTTGCGTTAATCTCGTAAATTACCTTAGTTCATTTGCAACATCTATCTTCACCTTATAACTTACAAAAACCGATTCATTTGCATACGGTACTACTAATCCTTCCATCTTGAAGTAGTCTATAGTTCAATATATTTGTCATCTCAGTTTAAAATCAGGTAGCTGAATGATAACGCTTCTATTTTCAATTCGATTCGAGTATCTTATGAATATGTGTTCTGTATTGGTATTGATAGCGCTATCGCCTCTTCGTACATCTGAGCCTCAATGGATGTGACTAGACTTCATATAATACTCAGTAAAAGTCAATAATTTTTTATCAAAGGAACGAATACATGTTCACTTCTATTGATATTGTAATTTAAAACTTAATTTCACCCGTTTGATTGAAAGCTGTTTGAAATGAAATTTTTGTCACCTCGCTTTGAGTTTTTGAGGTTTTATAATGTACGAGGAGGCTTAGAAGCTCGAGAGTACGTTTGACTGGCTGTGTGCTTCACTGTTTGCAGGCGCATTGGAGGCGAATGTGCCTGCTGTGAGCACAGTCCTGCCGTAAGTAGCACCGATCTCCTGATGGCTGCGTTACTTGTTGTCAGCTCACTCACAACTTCCACTTGTATCTGCAACTTCCAGGGTTTGCCTTCGTTGTAGCTCAAGTTTATGCCCCTATTAAACTTATTTATTGCACTTATCAAATCAATATCTGAAGCGCTAGTAAATCTGCTACTACTACTTTATCAAATCAAATTTATCCCGCGTGTATAATGTGGGAATTTTGTGATGACAATCTACGAGTCAATTCACTGTAATGACCATTTTATGCAATCAACCATGCGCTGATGGTCTGAAATCGATAGATATAATTTTCTCCAATTTTCGATTAGTTTGTTTGCCACTCACCATAGAAGATTTTATAGCGGGAGATGATAAAGTGACTTTCACACTACTTGAGTTGGGCAGTTTTGCAATACTTCAGTTGGGGAATTAATTTCGATTAAGATGAGGTATTCATTATGCAATCAGTGACAGCGCCATTCTTCAGCTATAGGTGTTATTGCATAACTGGACAAGATAAAATGATGATAGACTTGTTAATTAAGCTTTATCCCCACATTTATGGTAGATCTGTATGCCCCTGCTCTAAAAGTGTTCTCGCTAGCGTCTGCGAAACCCTCATGATGGGAGATATACCTCAAGGAGTTTCCTATCGCATGCACGTTGAATAGCACTTATACATGAATTTTACAAGTTTTCATGAATACAAGTTTACATGAATTGGACGAATTTTACGGTCAAATGAGTCTTTTGTTTTTTAGACCGAGTGAGTTTATTTGAATGCCAGAACATTAGAGTTTGTTCGCTTCCAGTTTCAGAATACACGGGCTTATGAGAGATGAAGAACGCATCTGTTGCACTGCTGCTCCACCAGCTAGCTTTCATCGGCGTCAGGGGGTAACTTGCGTGCATCCTTATTGCCAGAGGTCCAGCTATCATTGCTGATTACGACAATCAGTGCATTGTATACTTTCAGTTTCATCTCGCATTCATAGAGTTATTGAAATATCAATAGGTATCAAAAGCGTCATTAGCATTTTAGGTTCAGCCTAAAAATATAATGTCACTTTAAATTTTCTTAAACTCATCGTGGCTTCATGAAAATTTAGTTATGACCATTACGTTTTTGATTGTAAGCCGCGGTTTTGATTGCGATGAAAGTCGTGGTCGATGTCGCACGAAAGCTGCTGCAGGAGCAGTTCAGCAATAGATATGTTCTCATTCTCTTTGCCTTCTTTGTATGTTGCCTCTCATAAGAATATGTTCTTGTGTAAATAATTTATCTGTGTCTCATTGTTACTTAACTACATATTAACAAATTTCATATATTAAGGCTATCCAGACTTGACATCAATCTTGGTGTGGTGAACACATCAAAGTAGAAGGTCACACATGAGTGTGCCCCTAGTGCTGCGTCGGTTCTATTTCTTGTGCCATGTAGCTTTATATTACGTGTATTTTTCTCAGAGTTGATTGTATGTAAATGAAAGCTAGATTGTTTTTCCATCTATTCGGAATGCCATGCCATTTATAACTTGGTTAAGACTGCAAGAAAACCACTGAAATTAAAAAAAAAGAATTTATGCTTTCAGTTTTGTTTTTATATTCATTATCATAATTTTGTGCAAGTTTAGTTGGCACTGCAACTCGCAGGTTTTTTCTTGGGTGGCCATGACTGAGGCGCAGGCCGGTTTTGTTCATTGTTCTGACAGGTCGACGAGCGCCGACAGAGACAAGAGGGCGCGACGTGGCGACGGCCGGCGGGACAAATCCTCGAGGAGCGACCGCAGTTCCCGCAAAGACAGGGACGAGCGAGACAGAAAGCGGCGCGAAGAGAGGGAGAAGCGAGAGCAGGAGAGGAAGGAACGTGAAGAGCGCGAGGAGAAGAGAAAGAAGGAAGAAATTGAGAGAAGAGAGAAGGTGCGCTGCAAATTTTGGTGTAGAGTTTACTGGTTTATGCTTATGCTACTACTCATATTTAACTAGCCTTTGCCACATGAATTTGATGAGAATTATGTAAATTTAACCGTGTTCTTGACCTATTCAATGATTATAAATTGTTAGATATATGTTTTAGTTCAAGCCTTTTGTGTCGTTACCTTTTTGAATAAAATGATCATTGCTTTTCATGTTGTAATAGTCATTAATAGTCAAATCCATGTCATTCCATGGCATGGATTTTATTGAGTGTTCATGTGCGTTTTTTCTTAGAAATTGTAATTCTCTTTCACGTCTTCGCCACTCATAAAACCATGTAAAATACTGTAGCTTTATCCTAATATTTAAAAAAAAAGTAATGATCAAACATATCAACCTTGTGTTCAGGAGCGTGAAGCTCGCCACCGCGAGTTCTTGGAGCGCGAGGAGCGGCGCAAGAAGGAGTGGCAGCGGCGTATGGAAGAGCGTCGTGAGCGCGACAAGCGGCGGGAGGAGCGCGCCAAGCAGTTCGATGAAGATCGCGCTAAGCGGGGACGGCGATCTCGCGACCGCTCGCGCGAGGGCGAAGGGTAAGATGTCGGCATGTTAAATCTGTTATTATTTACTTGGGTTCAGTATCCGGTAGCTTAAGACTAAACAATCTACGCTAGCTTGTTTTAATTTTGTCTATTAAGCTCATCCTTGATCTTATTAATTTTTATTAGTGACTTTTTTCTGTTTTGCTTGAAAATTTTGATTCTGTACTATTAAGCCTTGTTGTCTTAGTTCTCTTTGTGTTAACAGCAAAATGTATAAGGGTTTTGACCTCGCAATAGGCGTTATCTCCTAACATTGATGATTTTTCATTCACCAGGTTGAGTGAAATTCCCCGAAGCCACGAAATAGATCGAGAGCGTGAGCGACAGAAAGAAGCGATCTTTGGCAAAACAAAAGAGTCTTCATCGGAATCTGAGGTGGCCGACATAAGCTTCGATGAAGACGATGAAGAGGAAACCGAGGAGCAGAAAATCGAGAGGATGAGGAAGAGACGTGAAGCGCTCTATAAGGTTTGTGATCTCACTTATTATTTCTCATGCTTACGTCATGAACAAAATAAGAAAATTTTCAGGGTTCACTCCTACTAATTCACATGTGCCATGCAGGTAACAAAAATATTGCTAATTAGGTGTTCGGCTCACTTTCGTCTGTTCGTCTGTGCTTAACAGTATATTTATTTATTCTAAAAAATTGTCTTTTTTTTATCTTTTGAATGCATTCTTTGAATTAGCTAATAAGTGTGTAATCGGTTCGTATTCACTCTAATCGGAAACGAGCATAGGGTTTCTAGTATTTTTTGGGAAGTCTATTCTGTAAGTTATTTAAACAATGAAACCAGCCCTTTGCTAGCTTAGCAATTATCTATGAGAAATTACATTGGCCTCTGTTTGTCATCTTATAAAGGATGTGATGCACGAATTTGAAATGCTCTGGACCATAGCTAACGTGCATGTCTGAATTCTGATTGATGTGTGACAGAACCTCGGCCTCGAGAAAGGATCGGCCAGTAACACTCCTTCCAACACAGCGCCCGTGTCTCCAGCCCCTGCACAGCCCCAGCCTGAACGGTAAGTTTTGAGGCTTCTACGAGTCAATTTCATATGCACCTACTACTTTTGTTTCGCTGGTTGTAATTTTATCTGGGCATCCAACTTGGTAAGGTGAAAAGGCAATGTTGTTCCATGCTATTCAAATACTTCGAATGGGTAATTGAAATTTTTAGCATCAGCAATTATTTTTTATTCTGTTTTGTTTAGGCCGGAAGCTACGACTGACCTCGTCACAAATGGAAAAGAAGACTTAAGACCTTCCACTCCGGAGGTAGCAGATTGCACGACTTCTAGCAAGAGAAGCTCGAGATCTTCATCCCGGAGCAGCAGAAGCAGCAGCAGCAGCAGTAGCAGTTCTAGCAGCTCAACTTCCAGCAAAACTCCAGAAAAGAGTGAAGCGCGTGCTAGGGGAGAAAAGGATATCTCGTTGGTGGAGCAAAATATTTCAGAAGCTCCTAAAGGCACTGGTGAGCCCACTGTGCGTAAAGTAGAAAAACGTTCGCGTTGGGACACTCGCCGGTCACCTCTCAATGATTCAAACGCTCAAACCGAGCACACCAATGGCGTCACTTCAGACAAAGCCCGCGCTGATGATCACAAACAAGAGAAGTTACAGAAGAGTTCAGACATGTTCTGCGAGAATGATATGTTCGGCGACAATTTCATTGTAGACAAAACAAGCGCTTCTGTTGCGGGTAAACTTGAAAATCCCAACCTGTTAGATAACTGGGATGATGCTGAAGGATATTACAGGGTCAGAATTGGCGAAGTCCTCGACCATCGGTAAGTGAACTCTGGCTCACGTAATCTCTTCATGCCCAACACTTGTATTCGATTTTTATTTAACGTTGTGACTGCAAATACGTGTAAAAAACTTATTTTTTTAGTTTTCGTTATTATTGAATGTCTATTGGAAGTGTACAAATGTTGGTGTTTTATTTAGGTACACAGTGTACGGCTACACGGGCCAGGGTGTGTTCTCTAACGTGGTGCGCGCACGTGACGGCGCACGCGGCGGTCAGGACGTCGCCATCAAGATCATCAGGAACAACGAGATCATGTGCGGCAATGGCGAAAATCTTCTCACATATTACTAAAGACGATGAGGCTTCTTTTATATACATATTAGTATTGCAGTAATTATACTTCCTAGGGTATATATATTTTTTATTTCTTACCTTAAGATCTGCGGTACTAGTGAGAATTCAGAAGTTAAAATTACACTGCATAAAATTTCGTTATCACAATCATTGATAAATGTTCACTTCCATAGATTTTTTCCTCAATGAAAAATGATCATTTATTTCAAACTCAAATGTTAGTCTTGAAAAAAAAAAACTTTGTTAAAGTTGATTCGCAACTGTCTGTCAATTGCTTTTTTTTCACCAAAATATATTTCTTCAGGCACAAGACGGGCAAGCGGGAGTTGAATATTCTGAAGAGCCTTAACGACGCTGATCCAGAAGACAAGTATCACTGTCTGCGGCTTTTCCGGAACTTCTTCCACAAAAACCACTTGTGTCTCGTTTTTGAACCTCTTTCCATGTCGCTGAGAGAGGTGAGTCCCTAATAGGCCCATAGATTAATAATGATTTGTTACTGAGTTTATAAATTTTGCACACATATTTAATAAAATATGCTTGCTTGCAGAAGCTTTAATTCTTTCGTCACTGGCGGGACTTATCGGTTCCCAATCACTAGGTACGAATAACATTGACGACCGTAGAAGTAGCCGAGACGAGAGAGTAAAAAATAGGCTCGCTGAGTTGTTCAGCTTCTGGTGTTCGCATCAGCTCGCTTCAACTAATTCTGGGAGCATTTTTTTCTAATATTAAACATTTATGGGGGAGCCGACAGACTAACCCTGTTACGCCTCTACAGAGCCACAATCAGATCTAAGTTAGACTACGGCTGCATTATATACCAATACGCCAATAAAGCAACACTATCCGCACTGGACTCCGTCCATCATTCAGCTATACGAATATGCACCGGAGCCTTTAGAACATCACCTGTCCTCAGTTTATATGCAGAAAGCGGTGAACCTCCACTCTACCTTCGCCGAGTACAGCTCACTAACGGATAGAACCTGCGCCTTGGAAATAAAGAAGCATACACCCTAGACCAGATGGATCAGGCTACGAGCCTGAAACCAACGAAGAAGCCTGCCGACCCTGCAAAACGAATATTGGACCTTCGGCGCGAAATAGACGACACTGATCTGAAGCGCTAGAAACCTCTCCCTACTACTACTACTACTTAAACATTTATGTATTAGAAAATAATTTTTGATAGTCTAATGAATATAGGGTTTAATGAACTTTATGCCGTTTAAAGTCACGTTTATCAATCAGAGATTTTCGTGTTAACAAATTTGTATATATTTTTCTCTATAGTTACATAAACTCCCATTTTTTCTAAATAATATACCATGATGCTTTAGTGTACCTGATCTAAATCTGGTAATTGAAATACTCACAGGTTCTGAAGAAGTACGGCAAAGACGTCGGCCTGCACATAAAGGCCGTGCGCTCATACAGCCACCAACTGTTCTGCGCCCTCAAGCTGCTGCGCAAGTGTAACATCATCCACGCCGACATCAAACCAGATAACATTCTTGTCAGTTGTATTCTATACTTTGACAATATTTTGTTGCAGTTATTTTAGTACATTGTGCGTGTTTTTTTCAATGGTTCGAAAAACGGCATTGTATGATGACACGTGAACACTGAACACGTGCTATCGTTTTTTTAAATCTTGTCTTCTTGGGGGGGAGTATATTCTTTTTTTTCATTATTTAACGTTTTATCTGTAAGAAAATCCGATTTGTCTAGAATTTTGATGACCCTATTGCTGCCAACAACTGCTGACTAGGGTCCTGTCATTCATTAGCGCTCATTGAGGAGCAATAAGCAGTTTTGTCTCGTACTTTGGTAGACTATATTTCGAATTGTTTGTACGTTTGACTGACAAATTTAGAATTTAATTTCAATTGTCTTCTTCCTAGATGTATCATATCTTGCACTCTAACTCGCAGGTCAATGAAAAGAAGCTGGTGCTGAAGCTCTGTGATTTCGGTTCATCTTCCAAAGTGACCGAGAATGAAGTGACTCCGTATCTTGTGGCTCGATTCTACCGCGCTCCTGAAATTAGTAAGTATTTTGGTTTTTGTTACTTAGCTTGGTATCAAATAAATGCATAAGATCCTCATTTTTTACGTTTTGCTTCAGGAATTCAATCCAGTACAATCGGATTTTTTTTGTTAATTTTATTGGTTAACACATTTTTTTTCTTCTTCCGATCCGATAACTACTAAAATCTTGTTTATTGTTAATACGTGCATTTAGAATAAACATTTTGATAGATTAAAACCAATGTGAAAAATAATTTCTATTATGATACTTCACAATGTGAAATGTATCTCTTATGCTACTCAATCTAATCACAATGTAATTCTTCTGCAGTCCTCGGTATAGCGTACGAGTTTGGCATCGACTTGTGGTCGGCAGCTTGCACAATCTTCGAGCTGTACACGGGCAAAATTATGTTCCCGGGTAAAACTAACAATCAGGTGAGGCTTCTATTGAAGATGATGCTTGAACCTCAATCCAATTGTAGGTTATCAAGCAAATTTGTTCTATATCAATCCAATCTATATCATGCTGCACAGAAATTTTCATTTGAAATTTTAATTTTCTTGAATTCTTGAAATTATCCGTCAACAAGAATACTTAAAGAGCCTTTCCCCTTGTAACTTGATGCTCAGTCGCATCCCAAGTTTCCTTGACACGAGTTTTATTGCTACATTAGTCCGTATTGGACACTAAAATGACTCCGGTATTTTTTTTTATCATACCTATTTAGCATTTATCTACCCTTGCCTGTTTTCAGTATTATTTTATTTTTTTTTTTTTGACCAGATGCTTAAGTTATTCATGGACCTGAAGGGCAAGATGCCTAATAAACTCATCCGTAAAGGCGCGTTCAAAGACCAGCACTTCGATAACGTCTGCAGCTTCCGCTACCGCGATGTGGACCGGGTCACCGAGCGTGTAAGTGAACTTCCCAATGCCAATTGTGTATAAATCTTATATTAATTTCGTTGTTTTTAGGAATCTCCCTTAATTTGTTGGTCTTCAAGTGAAAATTAAGATATACCTTTTTTCTAGTAATCCAAAATGAATTACTTGTATTATTTATAAATTGTATTTCCAACCGTTTACAATTATCTGTTAAGTTATTTAATACCTGCTTGGAATTATCAACAAATTAATTCACGTTCGAATCCGATACTGCGCAGATTACATAGCTAGATGTAATTGTTTGATGTCGGTTAAATGTATTTTTTCTATCACAATACAGGAGAAAGAGGTCGTACTTGCTACAATAAATCCGACGCGTCAACTTCTCCCCGAGCTTCTGGGTGATACAAACCTCCCTGAAGACCAGGCGCGCAAGGTGTGCCAGCTCAAAGACATCCTCGACAAATGCCTCATGCTCGACCCTACCAAGCGAGCAACTATAGATCATTGCCTAACTCATCCCTTCATCCGTGAAAAAATTTAAATGCTATTGTAATTAGTATATCTCAAAGTTTTCTTTTGTAAATCTAGCCACAGACATTCAATTTAGAAATCACGATTAATTTATGTCTTACTCGCGTCTTCACCATGCAAAACCATTTGCTTCACCCCTTCTTGACATTTTAAGATTGAGCAACGTTCACACTCGTGTTGAACGATCCAGCTCAGAGACAACTGCGGCAATCGTATAAGTTAAATCCGATGTAGCTGGCTTCTTCAAACAAAAGAATGTAGATAATGTACGTTTTAGAACATAGGTTTGCAACATTTCTTGCAGACCTACCCACTAAAATCGAGATTTGCTTTTCCAGCATGTAATAAAATAATAATACGGAAATAATGTGTAGTTCACGTTGTAATTTGCACCACCAGTTCTTTTCGTCAAGGCTTCCAATAGTCTGAAAATTTTCTGACATCTTAGTGCGGTTTCAGAAAGAACTAAATTTATTTTAATATTGACGACACTGGAGTGGTAATTAAAGTATTATTCTTGTGTTGTATTTACGTATTGTAATAATTACAGACGCTAAGTGACGATAATCGAATCCAGTTGAGTAATAGAAATTTAGCTTCACACCTCGTTACTTAAAATGATTGAAACGACGTAAACGATTCACACGAAAAATTGAAATTCTGTCCTATGAAAATATGCCGGCAAATTTGGGCTTTTTTTTTTTTTTTTTTTTTTTTTGTCTTGCTTGCTGGGAATTTCCCTTCATTGAGCTCATTCATTTTGAAATCAATTTAATTTAGAACCCTTTTTAAGTTCGTGTTATTTTACTTTACGCTTATATATGTTGGTATTGGAGCTTACTATTAGTGTCCGAATTAAATGTCAAAAAAATGCCCTCGTGGTCGGGCCTTACTAAAGAACGAAAATTTATTGTTCATGGTAAGAATTCAATTAGGAAATAAAAGAGAGTCGTGCTATCCGCGATCCAGTAGCTGCGAATAACTCGTATGTATCAACCATAATTCTGTGTAGCAGCCAATCAAATTTCGTTCGCATCTGTCAGTTTATTGCATTTGATCTCCCTAAATTTATTCCGTTTGAGAATCTCTCGATGGGCGTCGGAGTCTAACTCTGTGCTTGCACTCAGCGGCTCCCTGTATTTAAATCGCTCGTATTACTGAGCTGGCTATTCCGAGTGACCTTGAGCTGAGCTTATGGGAGACGGTGATAATATCCCTCCTTTTTATTTTTCTTAATATTGCTGCCAAAACCTATTGAAGTATGCACACAAATTGTGTCGTCAATGTAGGTATCACATGAGCCTTCTGATGGATGTATAAATTAAGCTTTGTTAAAATATTGGCCAGGATAAGCCGTATGCGGAATTGAAAAGATCGCTTTTTCAGTCCAGCGCGAATCTTGCAACGCGAAAATTTATCTTCTATAGTATATAATTTTGTTTAAGTCAATTGAATGGAACAATCGAGTCGAAACTGAGTATTTATTTGGTATTTTGTCCAAAAATTCGAAACAATTGAGGATTTTTTATGGTGTGTGTCGTAATTACACCGTTAAATCACATTTCTTAATGTGAATCTTGTTCACAACTTATTCATAAAGCCGACTTTTCATCCAAACTTCGCTCAGACGTCAAATAATTTAACTTTAATCTTGGAGGCAGGACAGTTTAATGTGTGCATTTCGAGTGAACGTTGTTAACCTGGAGGATTGACTAAAGTTTTGTGTTAATAAGTCATTAGTGATATATGTTTGATAAAAGTTCTGAAAATTCGAGCTTTTTTTTTGCTTCTTTTCATGGGGCAGTTTTTTTTCAATTTCATCGAGTTTTTTTTTCGAATTCAATTAAATGATCTTTTTTATGAAATGTCACATGTGCTCTTTTTGGCTTGCGGTGATGCTTTGCTTAAAAAACCGGTGGCTTCGAGTTAATGATTCGTCCAAAAACACTTCTGATATTGTATTACATCTTATTACTGAACTCGGTTGAAGCTATGTGCATGCATGTACAAAATATAATTCTTCTCTATTAGGATCTGATATTGAAACTTTTAAGTAAAAAATACGTAATCATGAGCTCAAATGATTAATTTGGTCTGTTGCTGTATCCGAGGTCCTCTGATGTGTGCAAGTTAACCACACACTCTGTAAGTAAACCATCTACTCCATCAGCATCTTTGCTTTTTATTCTCCTTACCTCGATCATGAGCAACTGCAGTGCCAAGCCATGCACTTTTTATTTGTTTAATGAGCTTACCATTCTTTGTTATGCTTATTTTCTTTTGTTAGCAGCTCCATGAAATGTAAAAGTTTTTTAGGCGGGAAACTTAGCTATTTGATAACAGCCGTCTTGCGTCGTTCATTTTTTAGACATTTTTTACTCGTAACAGTTAAACATCACATTTGGCTATCACCTCAATTGACTGCGATTTTGTATTGCTTAAAGGAGCTTGGTAAATTTCAATACCTTTGCCTGAATGCCATTTTATTTAATAGCTTTTTAAAAAATTGCAGTATTGGGTATTGCTTCTAATGGGCATTACAAAGTAATTATTGCTACTTGTTTAAACCACAATGTATGAAGTTGCTTTCGCCATCACAAATTTATCGCATTGCCGTAAATTAAACTCATAGATCAAGTCCTAAAAAAGCTTGTTATATATATTACTAAGTGCCGGCGCTTACCTCATTACGGATGAAACTATCCCTTTTTACTCTCTTGAATCTTTGATATCGTTCATATCTTAGAAAATGGATTCTCCTTGAACGTAACTTTCAACATAATGGCGCCTGAGATAGCTATATCCCGTCGTCATTTTGACTGCACGTATCCCTGTCTGGAACGGAAAATGTCCCTTCCCCGCCCGCCGCATAGCGCTGTGACTCCTGGCCCTTTATCGGCGCTGTCGAGGCAGGATGCAGCTGCAGCAGCCGCGCTAGCGAGCTCCCGGGCGCGCCGGAGCAGCAGCAGCAGCAGCGCTGTCCGCAATTATACTTGCATCACGCGCTTCCTCTCAGTGCTGAGCAAGAGACGCTCCGCCCTCCCTTGCTACTGTTGGGTACCTGCATGCTGCATCATGCTTAAGCTGATTGCTGCATCATGCTTGGGCTGATGGCTGCATCATGAGCTTGGGCTGATTGCTGCATCATGCTTGGGCTGATTGCTGGATCATGCTTGGGCTGATTGCTGCATCATGCTTGGGCTGATTGCTGGATCATGTTTGAGCTGATTCCTGTATCATGCTTGAGCTGATTGCTGGATCATGCTTGCGCTGATTGCTGGGTCATGCTTGAGCCGATTGCTGGATCATGCTTGGGCTGATGGCTGCATCATGCTTGAGCCGATTGCTGGATCATGCTTGAGCCGATTGCTGGATCATGCTTGGGCTGATTGCTGGATCATGCTTGGGCTGATGGCTGCATCATGCTTGGGCTGATTGCTGCATCATGCTTGGGCTGATTGCTGAATCATGCATGGGCTGATTGCTGGATCATGCATGGGCTGGATGCTGGATCATGCATGGGCTGGATGCTGGAACATTGAGTAAAATAGTCTTGCCCATCATGAGGCTTGTCTCTATTTGCTGTGATGAATATTAAATGTAATTCATGAGTGTAATTTTTCCTACCAATGCCATACGAACGTTCTTTGCAGGCAGATCAGACATTTTACCGATTTAATCATAAATTGTAGTTTTTTCATACATTTATTCGCGGAGAGAATATGTCGCGGAAGTTTTTTTTTTAGATTCTGTTCTACGTTGGCATTCATTCATTTGGTGTTAGAAGCAAAGGTTGGCGTGCATGTAGTCGAGCTGTGAGCGTTTGAGACTTTCCGTGTCACGATTACCAGTACAAAATCGTGAAAAAATATCATAAAGATATCAAATTGAGCAGTGAAAAAGCGGTTCTTTTTAACAAATCGTATATAGCGATTGCTATTTTTTTGTGAAATCGTGATTCTGTTTTTTAGCGGACTCAACTTTAACGCAGCATGCAAATTCAATGCATATTTTTTGGTTCTGACACTGTGAAACATTTCGGGAAACTACATTTCCCCGATGAAATGTCAATCAAAGCATAAGTAAATTATTCGAAGCGGAATCCCTGTAAGCCTTCATTCATCGCACGTTCAGGTAAGTGTATCTTCTATGCAAGTTAAAGTCTAGCTGTGAGGGACGACCGTTAGTTCGCTACTTATCACCATCTGACATCCTTATTAACCCCATGCTTGAGCGAGTTCTCATAGAGACCCCATCAATCACTCTAAGTACCTGCGTAAAGAACCAAGTCTGTTTACCGATCAGCCCCAACTTTTATTTTCGACTCAGCTACAGATCTTTGGCCATAATTTTCTCGACCCTTGACCACGGGATGCTTACCGCTCAAAGCCAAAATTTTCGAGCTTTAGAATTTCTCTTTAAGGAGACTTGTCGAGATTTGTGTTTAGGGCAGCGAGAAAAGAGCGGCGTCATTAGCTAAGGCGCTTGCTCTAACGGGGCTCTATTGTCTTGCTGGCGCTGCGCCCTAATCTGCAAACTCCTGGATTAAAAACACCATGTCTCGGTTTGTTGTCCTAAGAAGCTCAGACAAGAAGAGCCTCAAAGCAAAATCGCGATGAAAATTCGGTTTGATTTTGTCGGATGTATGGCTTTAATATCTGGGAAATTCCAGATTGGTTATTGCTACTCACGATAACAGTACAGTAAAATACGCATTTTCCCGTGTTGATGTTTGAGTTAAGAAAATTATACAATTCTAGGACCTCGAAAAATCTCGTGAAACGATCCTATACCATATCGCCATCAGTTGCAACCTGTGCCTGTTCAACACCCATGTATTTCCTTTGCTTTTGGTAACTAGAGTTGGTATAAGAGAAAACTACATTAGGAATGAACTGTTTCCCGAAAAAATTAACTTGGTAAATCATTTGATGGTACGGAGATAATGTCAATTGAACGGACACTGCTAATGGACTGATAATAGACTTCACATTCCATGTATTGTTATAAGATCTATGCCGATTTTACTTTTGCATTTGACATAAATTATAGAAACCCACTATAAAATAGTGATTTACGTTATACTCGCGTAATATCAAAACCGTAGTAAATTTGGCTCATGAGTTTAATAGCCGGAACAGGAATTCAATTCATCCACTGAGTTAGTACGATGGCCAGTGGGAGAATATCCGTATTGGATGAGATATATTGCTTAATAATGCTCGAAATTACTGTGCGTGTGTGGTCAAAACTCGCATATGTTCACCGGTGCTCATTATCGGAAGATCGTAGCGATATACGTCAGCTCTTTAGCTCATCACCCGAGCAATCTACCAACACAGGGCGGTGATACGTCGCTTCCAGAACCAAGAGGTGTCATTATGCCCATTGAACGAAGTTTGCATGACACTGCGTCGTGATGTATGAATCCGAATCCGCTGATAACGACTATTTAATGTACGGTTACCTTGAATCTTATTAAATCGAAACTGCTATTCTACAGATGTTATTGATTTAGATTCAGCCAAAGTACCGCCTTCATCAGAAGTTGTAAGATCGGAAGCTTCGGCATTGTTTTTTATGCAAGTTTCTGAACAGAATGCTTTACTTTCGGTCATTACCGAAATACGTGGACTACTGATAAAATGGATGACTGACTATACGATACTTCTTAATATTAAGGAGTTCGAGACGAATTGTAACCAGAAACCACTGAAAGCCACTATATAGCTATAGCTACAGAGCCAACAGGGTAATGTGAAAAGGAAGTTTAAGTAAGCTATTTTTGCGTGACTAGGTTGAGGTAGTTAATGCAAAGGGTTAGCTTGCGGCAGCCGTTTTAGTAGGGGGCATTGATTATTTCTTGTTAATTGTTTGTTTCTTCTTAGTACAAATCTATAATGACTTCTTTTTAAGTCGTGGTGCGTTATTTCACCGTTATGTTCATTTTCACTGAATTGTGGTAAACGTCTACTGAATTGAGGTTCACAGTAACACGCTATGTGCTTCTAAAATTTTAAGTAATCACTTGAACATTGGAATATTGTATATGCATGATAATAAGTGTTTAAACCGTGGCTGTGAAAGACCGCGGAGTATTGCGAGGGCAATATCTGCTTTCGCTGCAATTCTCTGTGGAAAATCATTGATTCCTTTCCCCGGCTGTTTTCAATTGTGCGTCCTTCGGGATATTAGGTAATACACGAGGTATAATTTAATTTATAATGAAACTAAGGTAGAAAGCGGGAGCTAGTTGATTCCTTTTAAAATTGACGTTTTAATTTAACCATCATAGGACGCTCATTTTTCGTTCGGATTCAATAAATTGTAGACTGAAGCTTTTAACAGCTAGTGATTCACAGAAGTAATTTCTTTTGCTGTGCACTATGATCAAATTTAGGTATATAAAATTAATTATATTTGTCTGCGAAGCTACGCGGTTTGAACTCTTGTTCAAACTCGCCACCATTCAATTAATTCTTTTTCAAAGTAGGCTTGAAAATACCATCACTTCAATAATCTCGTAAATCCTTAAACTTCAGCGTATAGCATAAACAGATATATTCACTTAATTAGTCACTCAAAAATTAAAATACTGTTTTGGCGTAAGTGAAAGATTATGCAAGTTGTAGGCACGTAATCTATGTTCATTCTACGTACATAGGTATTATAGTTTCATCTCGTGTACAGGCTGGTCCATTGTTACGATGGTTAGGCTGAGACTTGAGTGTTCGGTGTGAAGGTTAAAGGAGACTGCAATCTATCATATATGATCTAGAATGGCTATAATTTCCTCTTGCCTCCTTCTTCCTTTTGTCTTTCTCGCGAATTATAAGTTCATGTAACGAAACAGTCCAAATGAATAGATCAACTATATAGTCATTTTCACCCTGCTACTCCCATAATCCATTAACATGGATTTTTAATCCATACGATGCTCCGTTAATTATTGAGTAATAATATAAATTGGAAGAACAAACTCAAAGTTGTCTCGTGTAATACGTGGAATTTTATGACTTATACCTTCATACTTTTGATCTTGTATTAAATTGTCAATGCAAATTACGACTTCAGATTTTTTTTTGTTTGAACGGTCCTATGAAGACTATTTCATGAAAATTAGTGTCCCTGAATTTGTCGTCAGGTGAAGGAAGTATAGAAAAAGATCATAC